GGAATAGTTTTATGACAGCTATGGACAAATCGATTTACGGTTGCCAAGAAACATCCTCTGATCAACTGATGTTTGCACAAGCTTGCATAGCGGATTGCAACCGCTCCGTCACTAATGCATCTACGGTATTGAACTCCTAAACTCCTTAAGCCTTAAAGCCTGCCTTAAGCCTTAGGCCTTAAGCTTTCCCATCGCTCTTTTTGACCTTCTCGACTAACCAACCCGCTAACTCCGAGTTATCTCAGCAAAATACAATTCGCAAATACAATTCCCAAATACAATTCCAACGTACGCAAGGGATTAAATCTTGTTCTTTTTTTTTCTTCTTTTGTTTCACCAACACTATTCTGAGTTGTTCTTTTTATTTCATTTTTATTTTTCAGGGTACATATTTTCCCGTGCCAAATTTTAGGGTCTTGGTCCAGATCCCGAACTCCATTAGAAAATACGGCGTACCTCGTACAATATGTACATAAATGCATTGCCCCATTTTATAAATTCCTCGGTACGTTTATGAGCTACGATACGTATTCTAGAATTCTAGAGGGCGGGAGATACTTGGCCCGTTTCTAGCGTAAAGCGCTATTTTGTAATTCCAACATAGGTATGTTAGCTAGGGCTGCTAAGTAGTTTTCGTATATACAATACCTTAACCTAGGTACATAGGTAAGTAGGTAGGTAGGTATTGTATGTATGTAGCTCGCATTCGTCTACAGCTCCTGAGTCCCGTACATAGGCCCTGAGGCTCTGCTAAAACGCGCTAATGGCAACTGAAAGTGTCATGATCTGATCTATCTGTATGTACTTTACACCAAGCATCATAATGATGACATTGCGCCTCATCGGGTTTGGCTGCTCAGCCATCGCGGGTTATCAGAGACATTTTTAAGTTTTGCCTTTTCCTTTCCTTTTTTTTTCTTTCCATCTGGCGACTACGTGATGTATGCTAGCATAGGTATGCACATTCTAAATAAGCATAAAGCCTTGGTTCCTTCTAAGCGACCTCTTGATGCAAGGTAACAAGCGGTAACCCGTACCTAGGTTAGATCCTCTGTGGAACACCCTACCTGCCTGCGAGGCGCTCCCCGTTTAGCGCATTCCCGAAGGAGAGGACTTGGCAGATCCGGAGAATCCTCTTATGGGTTTCCTGTTTGTCTTATGCAAATCGCCTTTTTGAACTACCGCTTTTCATGTTTAGCTTGGCTTTGCCATATAACGAACGCGTGGCTACGGGGAAACCCAGTCAACTTCAAGGTTCAACACCCTTATCGTTAGGTATACGACAGCGACTCGAACGACATAAGGCAATGATGATCTCACCATTTGCTTAGCTGGGCTTAATTATGTACATGGTCGCACATAATATAGTAAGTGATACTTTCACAGGCCATAAAAACATGAAAATGCAAGATGGTTCCGCTTTTGGCTAAAAGTGGGTGGATTTGGTGAGGAGCAACGGAGCAAAGAGGCATCCAAAATGCAACAGGTGCAGCAGATTTCAGCTCAATTCTAGAAGAGGGAATGCCAGTTAAATATTACTGGTTAAATATTATTGGTCAATGCAAGAGGTGGATAAAATATGGATAAAAGGTGGAGAATACATAGGATACATATGATCGCCCCTAGGACCCACAACAAGCTTTCCCAATATGGTCCAGTACCATGGGACAATTGGAAATGCCGTATCGGCTCCGGATGTGATTTATACATCGGCCGAATCGGAACGAAGCATTCGTGTTTGGATAGAATAGTTACATAACTATGGTAAAACCAAAGTAAGGTTAATTCCATACAAGGCAAGTCCACCTCTTAACTATTGCCGAATGGAGTATGATGGAGCAATGCACGCGACATTAATAGTGCTAAAGATGTAAGATGCATTAAATGATATAATGATATATGTACAAGATCCAGACCCAAGAATCCGGTTGAGGAGGGTTTGGGTTTTGATCGGGGATGGCTTGGGTGGCTGGAGTAAAAGGCGATCGATCAGCTCGCACGCCATCAAAGTTAATTAATCAATCGATCAATCAATGAAGCAAGCAAGCAGACAATCAGACAAGTTGCAGTTGCAGTATAATATTTTTCTATGGAAACACAAACAACAAGTAAAACACCATAAGAATGATGACAATAATAGCGGATCCTGTTGTTCGGTGCTCGGCTGCTACATTAGCGAGTCGAGCTTCGCTCTCCGAGGGAAAACCCCTAGCCCGAAAAATGCTACCATAGCAAGGCCCATGAATAATAGCATTGAACGTTTTAGGACATCAATCGAACAACATATCTTTCTTTCAGGCCATGTCACGATGTCACAAGCTTACTTTTGCATACCCGCCTACCGTTCGCCGTCCCTTTCAAAAATTGACTCATATTTGAGGTTCGTCAGGGAGTAACAGGGGCAAAAAGTCCCTCATTTCTCATGAAATTTCACGATCCGGCAGGCTATTGCATACGGTAGGTAGGTACCTAGGTAACCCTGTATCATGTACAATACAATGATTAGATCTCTGCAGCCCTGTTTAGCCCGGTGCAGTCTGTGTCACGAGAAGAGGAATCGAAATAAATGGAAATAAATCTCTAATCTATGTAGGTGTCTATGTAGGTGCTCTCCACAAACTCGTCCGCGATCGTCTGTGTAGGAATCGAGGACCACGAGTAGGTGCTTAACCTAGCTTCACATGCGAGGGGACGCCGATGGAAACGACCCAATTTCCTCTCGGCGGGTCGGCTTTTGTATATTAAAGCCGGCCGAGGATATTAATTGGATCGTGAAAGGGTATCACAGCATTAGCATACTCACCCTCTCACCCTCTTACCTTCTTACCCTCTTACCCTCTTACATACCTAGGCACCTAATTATCTACTACATACATACATACATAACAATGGGACGTGGATCAGCCTTAGTGGGACAATGTTTGAGGGCCACTTAGCTCATCAACTCTCTAACCTAAGGTTAGGTACTTTAGAGACTTCGAGATACAAACGGGGGCTGAGTTGTGGAAATCCGTGTGTTTGTGCTGGCGGAACTTGGTGAATCGACCGTCCGTGCTCCGAATCCCGGTTCTGGTCGACATCATCGAGTCTTTTTTACCAACATCGCGCTCTAACCTACATACTTGGGTATATGCAGTTGTAAGCAGAGTGCATCGTGAACTATTTCCGCGCGCTATCAAACGGTCACGACGCCTTGCTTTGCCGTAGGTATAATCTGAAACTCGGTCCTTCACAGCCACTTGTTAGTTGGTTTTTGGTGACGGATATATCGACTTGGCATCCCTAACTTGGCCATGTTAACTTCGGGTTTGAGAAGTTCGTATAGAATAATATAACTAGGTAGGTACCTACATGATGTAACCATGTGCTGTATCACCAACAACTAAAGCTACGCGTAACTAACTGAACTAAGTAGGTATCTAGAGGTATCTAGGTATGCATGAACGTAACACGTAATCTTCTAAAATTACCTATTAAGCCAAGCTTGTCTTTTCATAACCAGAACCAAAACCAAAAGGAGAAGACAAGCTTCTAGCCCTACGTGTATTGTACCGTCCCCACTACCTACTCCCTAACCAACTCGACCGAGGAACGTTACCATTTCCACAATCTTAGTCCAGAAAGAAAAAAACCCAATGTTTTAGTTAAACGCTTATGGCCCCGCCACGTGGAAATACCGCGGCTCTGCGTCTTATGTAGTAAGAGACAGTTAAATTTGCGCAACAAAAATAAAATAAAATTAAAAAACTATTTCGAAACCTATCGGCCCGTCTCGCAGCAAGGCTTCACGGAACCTTCTCAATGGCCGAGCTAGCAAAAGCTGAAAATGAGTAAGGCGGCAACGGGGCTAAGCTTGGCTCAAGACTCGAAAGAGAAAAGAAAGAAAGAAAAAAGAAAAAAAAAAGCTTGACAGCTCCGATGGAGCTTTGTTCCCGATAGCCTGGGTTGAGTGAGTGATTTTTACATAATATATAGCATCGCCGAGTTTTCTCCTTGGGACTCCGGGACCCGCAGCTTTTCGATTCGAACCGGCCGGAGATTTTTCTTCTTCTTGTAACCCTTGCGAACCGTGGACCGTGAACCGTGGACCGTGAACCGGGTTGTAAGATTAAGATTGCTGCTGCGCTGCCGATACCGCGGGTTGAGTTTCGCCCGTAGTCTTCTCATTCCTTTTGGCCGCCTGTCTATCCTCGGCGTCAGATTTCAGTTAGCTTGTTGCGTTGTAGGTGATAAGAGGTAAGAGGGGATGTTGGAAAGGGGATGTACCTACTTTACCTTTACCTACTTCCGTCCTCACCATCTATTGAGACAGATAGGCAAGTAGCCGGAAACCCTTATTATCATGTTAATCATATAAACCCTATCCCTCATCACCGCCCTATCTCGCATTTCCACCTATCTACCTATGTAGGTACATATGTATATGACCTCACGGAGAGATTCCGAACAGAACACATTACCTCACCTCTCACCAAGTGATGATCCATCTCGCGACAATCCGGTAACTCTCCGACGCGAAGAGCTTCAAAAGTCGTGCCGCCCGATTACGTCCCATCCCGGCGAAAACGGCCGGGGGAGAAATCGACTAGGTTAGCCAAGTCGACCTGCATGAGGATCCCGCTTCAGTCATCCCTTCGCTTGCCTTAGTAATTAACCTAGGTATGTACACCAACGCCGCGTGAATCATACATAGTAAGTTAGTAAGTAGTGTATCGGCCCTGACAAATGATATATTGTAGCTGCCCCAAATCCCACATCCCACATGGCCGACTTGCGGAAGCTGTAAATAGGTAGATATATAGTCCCTCGGTACACGTCTAACCTAGGTTAGGTACCTGCTTGAACCTCCGAGTACATTTAGCATACATGAGGACCACCGGTGTTCTTGTAGGTATACCCTTAGCACTATTAAATCGAGTATGTCTTAAATCCGGTATATACCCTAAAATGCCCCGAGGGCGGATGCTATGTAGTAAAGAGCTTTATAACAGCAAGGCAAAAAGCTCTCGCTGGGAAATTGGACATATGAACGGGTATAATTCTATGTACGGAATACGTAGGTAGGTAGGTATCTACTACAATCTAAAAATTCGCATCTACTCGCGTGAGACCTCTCCATATGCCCTTGTAATATGCAGCCCTCCCAAACAGCTATTAATAACAAATCTATAAATCCCATCCAACGTACAAAACTCCATTCTAACTAACAAGCAAGCAAGCAAGCACGCACGCACAAACACCTCTCTAGGTCCCTTTCTATTACCCTTGTCCCTCTTACATAGCAAGGCTAGCCAACGGTCTTCTATAGCTTGGCCTTGTCCTGGTTGCTCTTCTTCTTTAATCTTACAACGCCCTATAGATCCATCACAGGATGCTCGTTAGCCGGGGAAAACTACCACGAAATGATTGAAACGGGGGAACTCACCTCCTGGAACGCCGTGGCGAGCAGCGTCCCGTCGCGGCTATAGATCTTCTGCATAACCACGCCCCTGCCGTCTCCCGCCCAGGGACTCTCCATCTCGACGAACATCCACTCGTCGGCGCGCACCTTGCTCGGGTTGTGGAAGTAAATCGAGTGGTCTAGCGACACCATCATGCCCACCTCGGGCCGCTTTGCCGTACTCTCCAGCGTCCCGTACCCCTCCCACTCGTTCAGCTGCTCCAGATGCTTCCGCACGTCCGGCTCCAGCTTCCCGATGTCGTCCGGCCGCACCGGGTACCGCCATAGTCGGTGGATGCGGCTGACCGTGCCGATGAAGTACGAGTCGCTGACGTACGCCAGCGCGCTCAGGTGCGCCCTAAGACCGCCCTTCTCGCTGATCTTGCCGCGCGCGCGAACCCACTGCCACACGCGCTTCGTCGCGGGCGGCCTCTCGTCGTCGTCGCCGTCGCCGTCCCCGGGGGCTTTGCATCGGAAGCTCTGGAACGGATCGTCGCCGGCCCGGCGCAGGAACGGCGGGTCCTGGTAGTCGTCGGGAGGGGTCTGGGCGAGCGCCTCGGCCGGCACGGACACAGCGTGCGAGACCGACTCTTCGCCACCGCTGCCCTCGCGCACGAACGAGCACGTGACGGTGAAGATGGCATGGCCGCGCTGGCGGGCCTGCACGGTACGGGTGCAGAAGGACCGGCCCTCACGCACACGCTCAACATGGTACAAAATGGGTACACTAGAGTCGCCTGCTAGCACGAAGAAGCAGTGGTACGAGTGTACTACGAAGTTCGGCGGGACGGTGCGTTGGGCAGCCTACAAAGCCGTGGGGAGATCATGTTAGTCGGTTGGTTATTTCATCGCAGTCAGCTGACGGCTTGCATGACGCAGTCGTGTAGGTTAGATGGTTGGCTGTTGGTTGGGGGGGCACGACGAGTTATGCAAGCAGAAACTCTCCGTTGGGATCCCATGGGACTTATCGTACCCCAGCCCGCCTTATCCCGTCTTTGCATATGCGGGTGAGATGAAAGGGAAGAAAGTAGGTGTGGGAAGGGAGAGAAAAGGTTATGGTCGTTGGTCCTTGGGAGCACAGCACCGGGGCGAGGCAAAAGCCGACCGGATGCCGATCCCAGCAACCCTCCGCTCGGAGAGACGACGGTTGAGACGTCTTCCAACAGACCAAAATAAACAAACAGGCAGGCAAACAAGTGTCTCATACGAGATGGGGGCAAGGGGGAGGAGTACATAAGTAGCAACAAGCAAAAGCAGTAAAATAAATAAATAAATAACGGCAGAAATTAATAAAAATGTACATACAGCAAGCGTCTGCGCAATGACGGCGCCTCCGTAGATCCCCCGTGCGCCAGGTGGATGCCAGAGCTCGCGCGTATTGGTGAAGAGGTCCTACATATATAGCAAAGCACGAGTCAGCGGCGTTTCCCTCGTACACAAATAGACAACTACGCATAACACCAATACATATAACCAACCTAATTACATCATATAGTTATAGGTAGTATAGCAGTCATCGGCAACCAGCTGTAATAAATAATAAAAAGCAAAAAAAAAAAAAAAAAAAAACTCACAGGCCCGATGACGCCCAGCTCGGTTAGCTCGAGCGCGTTCTCGATAGGCGCCTTGGACGTGTCGAGCGGCGGCGGCCGAACCAGCGTTGGGAATACGCCCATATCGTCGGATTCGGATGCTTCAACTGTCTGTAGCCTCTTACGTCTCTCCTTCCCGTTCCTATGGCTTGCAGCGGGATTTGACAACCGATCTGGATCCCCGACGCAGACTCAGGGGTTAATGTCGCACGACGAGAGGCGATGTGATGCGATGTGATGTTTTGTTATGCCAGCTGATTAATGTTGGTTGTTGGTATGTTGGTATGTTGATGTTGATGTTGTATGTTATATGTTGTAAGTTGTAAGTTGTAAGTTGTAAGTTGTAAAATAAAATAATCCACAATTAGCTCAAGGACGTTACCTATAACGTATTCCGTACAATAGATGAAATTACAAAGAACAAAATAAAAAAAGAAACCTAGTAGCTAAGTAAAAGTAAATATGTAAAAACAAGCCTTCAAGATATCCAATCTAATCGACCTTCTCCTATTTGCGAGACTTCGCTTCCTCATGCGAAATCATGTAGCCGATAAGATCGAGGCTAAGGTTGTGGGCCAATTGTCTGCCTCAAAGCATCTGCTTACGAAATCCCCATGCCTCGAACTTTTTATTTCTTTTTTTTTCTACCGAGGCTCGGAATCAAGAGTGGACCACGGCCCGCAGCCCGCGCCAAGAACTCGCTGTCCAACCTAAATGTTCCCAAATGCCGGCCGACAATTTCCTTACACATGTAAAAGTCCTTAGGTTATTTCCATATCAAGGCACGGCAAGTATTAATAGCAGGCAGCAACTTATGGCACATGAATACATATGACAGCTCTCTTTGTAAAGACCCATGCGTACATACCTTAGGTAGGTAGTCGCCAAATACATACTACTATTTTACTATCTTCTTAATTAACATTTATAGTAGCTGGTAGCTAAGGCTATATACATACATACAAGACTCAGTTGCCTCTGAATTCATACATAATAAGGAACTTACTAAACAAATTGAATGTTAGCCCATTCACCTGACAGTCATTTTTATAATCGTCAAAGTAGCAATGCCTCATTTCATTCATACTCGTCTAATAACCCTTGCGCATGTGCCTCTTGTATATCATGTGCAGCCACGTCACTACCTACTAGCCAAGATTCATTACTCCTGGTCTTCAGACGAGTAGATCGGCTCCAAGCCATCCCACGCGTGAGGATCCCCACTGCCGAACTTCTCTCGTTGTGCCCAGTACTTGCCAGTGAACTTCCAGTACTCTACCCCCGTGATTTCACATGTCGTCTTCTCGAACCACGCAGGGGCGAATTCCTCGCCGTGTTGTTGCCTCGTCTTTCGCCTAGCTCGCTGCGCCTCTTCGAGCCGGTTCTTTTCGGACGCCGCCAAGTCATATTCGCCGTCTTCCATCGCTCTCTGATCCGGACGGTACCTGGAATCGGTGGGGGCAATCCATTGCTTGAGATTCTCGTCTATGTGGTTGAAAGTGAGCACAAATGGCGTAAGATTAAACGGGATGCCTTCAGGTCGGGAATTGGCTTCCCAGACCATGAAAGCTCGGCTGGGATCGCTAATGCTTCCTCGTGTGTCCTTCGGCTCTTCAACGGTAGCCTCAAAGCCGGGCGTAAGGCGAGCGTAGAGCTTGGAATTCCAACGGCCACCCAGGCTCATACGCGGCCGACCATCAGCGTCTAAAATCTTTCCAGAAAGCTGGTAGGCGCTGGATGCCTTCCAACCTCGCTGCTTGAAATCTAGCAAGCACGTCTCTCCGGTCGTCCAGTTCTTGATTTCCACGAGACCATAGTTGTCTACGACTGGGTTACCGGTAATGATGCCGACTACTTGCGATTTGGGCTTCTTCCACGTGAAGAAATCCTCTTTGCCGCCAGCAGTAGGACGTAACCTCAGGAACCAGGTGCCAAGGTGATATATATCGAACGATTTGCCCAAGAATCTAGAGTCTACTTTGGCTTCACCCCAGTAAGTCCACTTTGCGGATTCCGCATACGCTGCGCCGATGGGTGGGTGGTGGCTAACTTGCTCGATAAAGAAGCGGTAGCCTCTATCAGGTCTCGCGTACTCAAACGTCTCGCCCAAAAGCGGGTTGAATGGTTTCGCGACGCGACCAATAGTCGACGCGAATTCACTCGACGCGAAGGCAGCGACGTACAGCATGCGTTCGATCGAATCTGATCGATCTGCTGCCATATCTAGTAGGTCTGCATACTCCATATCTTCACCAGTTCGATATAGCAGAGAAGTTGGCTCGTTGAAGGATACTGGCAGCGTCATCTTGGTCATATCCTTACCGATCATAGATTTCAAGATACCCTGAAAGAAATCAGCACCTGAATATTAACTTGACAGTGTCTGCGAACTTACCCATAGACCAATCTTTGGTCGGTTGTCTTCATCCAATTTTAGTTTTGTCCTGAAGCCATTCTCATAACCTTTAAATGCACTGCTGACGTCTATCCCTGATATTACGACGTCCTGTCCGGAACCAGCGGACGGCACAACGTCAGACGGCGGCATCGGTTCTACATCGACTTCTCCTGCATCTACAGCATCGAAGAATTCCTCCTGCTCGGATTCTGAGTCGCTAGAGAGCTCGATAGCATGAGAGTGTAAGGTTGATTTGCGCCCTATGCTCTTCAACGACGGCGAGTGTAATGGGTCGGATATCTCATCCTCGTTGGCACCAGACACCTCCGCATGCGCGGCATTGAAACTATCTCTGGTAATTGGCCTGGATTCGCCAGTACTTCCCATGACTTCACGAAGTGCCCGTTTAGCTAACTTTCGCTTCGTTTCGGCTTCGCTGACTCTTGCTTCTAGGACTTCTTGTTCTGCGGCTACCTTAGCCATACTCTCTTCCCACATTTGCCGCATCTCAATTTCTTGCTCTAAACGATATTGCCAATGTGCGTCGCGATCCTTCGATATCCTAAGAAGGTCTCCCATAAGACCCTTTAGACTTCGGATCGCTGCGTCGTACGTCGCAAGCGCTTGCGCTGCTTTAGGATCCGAAAGTGATAGTGATGGATTCCGGTTTGCTTCCGCTTGTAACGCTGCGCTCACGGATGCTAGTGTGTCTAGTTGGAGCCTTGCTGACTGCGCAGTAATATTAAAAGCGTCCTTAGTTGCCGTCGGAGCTTCACCGCGGCTTGACTGATCTACGTATTCGTCGTCGTCGTCGTCGTCATCGACCTCGCCGGGGATTGTAGGCGCTCCGTTACTTTGTCCCTTAATCTCGGGGCTGTCGGCATCAACGAATTCGTCATCTACACTGCCCGTGGTACTAGCATGAGATACTCCAGCCCGCGAGCCAAATCCCTTCCCTACATGTATTGAAGAAAGGCGGGATAACTGTACACTATTCCTATGTTCACCTGTGCTTGCCACTTCGCTATGAGAATCGGTAATAGAAGGTTCTGCTGGTTTATAAAGGCTGTCCCGAGCCTGCCGTAACATTTCAGCACCTTGTGCCTTCTGTCGTTCTTCCTGCTTTGCTTGGTCCTTCATCCACTGGATCGCATTATTCAGTGCCCAGAACCATCGTTTAGCTTCGACTTCGTGGTTAGCCTTCAGCGTATACTTTACTGATGACTTCCCGATGATCTCGAACTTCGTCTTTTCTTCGGGGCTCATGTATAACTTGGCGATGCGCATACTAATGGCTCCCCGACAAGCATTTTCTGCGTCATCTTGGTGTTTATAATAACTCAGAACACCATTTTCAAGGACGAACCAGCGCAGCTGGTAACCTTTACGGTAGTTTGTCCACTTCTTAAGGTAACCCTTCATCTGTGGTTCGCGTCCAGCTAGAGGGTCCCCCGTGACAGCTGGTCCAGGGCCACCTTGCGAAGTCGCGTGCCCGAGTACCGCCTTCTCCTGGATACCACGTTGAGCAGCTACCGCAGCAGGTGATCGCTTAAGCATCGCCTTTGTAATATCATCGTTGGTAACCTGCTGAGGGAGTTTGCCTCTGCGATCCCGTTGGAATGGGTCAGCACCGTGAAGGAGAAGAGCTTGGATCAACTTCGTGTCTCTCTTGCGGGCGGCCTCATGAAGCAATGTCCCACCCGCCTGAACGGTCACGGGGTCACAAGGTAACTCGATACTATTGATGTCTAGGATTGTCTTGACACGGGGCTCCTCTAGAACCTGACCAAGGGTATCATAGGCTCCTGTTTGCACGAGCTCTTGGACTTGCTTAACTTTATCCTGCACGAATAAGGTCCTCGCGAGCTGCAGGTGTTGGAAGATATCGGGATTTCTTGCGACATCTAAAGGGAGCTTTCCCTGGTTGTTTGCAACGGCATCGTTGATATCCTTCTGTTCCAGCAGCAGCCGAACTACCGGTGCACGCCCCTGAGTAGCAGCCACATGTAATGGCGTATTCCCATCTTTATCCCGAGCGTTTACGTCAATATATCCGGCGCCATCAGAGAGTACGTATTCTACAACGTCGAATTCGGCGCACTGAATGGCAAGGTGCAGAACGGTCGTGTCATCCAGGGGTCCCGCATTTGCTCCACTGATAGAAGATGTACTCGCGCGAGGTCCGGATTCTGATGTTTCTCGAACAGCCTTGGATATTGCAGCTGTGTTCCCGCTCCGTAAAGCCTCGACGATACGGAACTTACGAACGGATTGTTCAAGTGACGAGCCCTTGTCGGCAACGGAGAGGCTGTACCGATTCGTGTTTAAAGAGGCGGGCTCGCGGGATGGGATCCGACCAACTGACATCTTTTGACTATGACCCTTGACGGAAGCTTGGTGGGACAGAGGAACGGCGGGGGCGGAGGTGCTCGTAATAGGAAGTGAAGCAAGCCCAGAGGTTTGCGATCCATCTTCAGAGATAGCATCGTCATCATTACGATTATCCTTGTCTTTGCGTCGGAGGAGGGAGAGGGCGGCTGACTTGGACCGCTTATGCTGGCTAGTTTTCGAAGCGAGTCAGTCAGTACAATGATTTAGGAGGGTATTTCTACATAGCAGAACTGATAAGTAAATTTACTTACCCTTCTCCAGTATCCGACATATTGAAATTAGATGATATAATCCCGGTACCGTTTGGTACCGAAATTGCAGACTGGTAGGCAACTTGTTTTAAAGAAAGTTGGCAGTGAAGATTTGACGGTGAAAGAAGATGTTAGTACAGCATATTCAATGATCGACGAGGAATTAGTAGCAAGATTAGAAGCGAAAGGTTAAAATCGGAGAGTGGAATTTAGTTGGGCAGTTAATAGGTTAGGAATGATAGAATGATAGAATGATAAGGTAGTTAGGATTGAATGTCAACGGTGTCTTTTCACAAAGACAAGCATTTTCCCCCCTCGTCACCAGAAATGACGTTTTTAGGTCCAAGTTGTTTTTAGCTCGAGTTGTTCGAGTGGTGCAGCTTCCGTCTCCAATCCTAGTGTAGAAATCCAGAAATTGAACGAGACGCCAATCTCAGGGAGGGGACATCCCCCACCAATGGAACAAGCTACGCTAAAGATTAAGACACGTATAATGTACAGTAAGTATATACGGTGCTATACAGTGATTACACGGTATTGGACCCTGATAGGTACATGTACCTAGTGCCTCTACATCAATAGGTAGGTAGGTACCTTTCTTTCCTTCTCCTTCTACATAAGGTACCTATACCACATGCCGTGAAATAGAGCATTGCTGTAAGTTAAAATACGCAGAAAAGCTAGGTAGGCACATGTAAGTAGATAAAGTATAGATTTATATATCTCGTTTTCTAAAGCTACATGTACCTAACCTAGGTAGGTACCTAACGCATCACCAAGGTTCGCATCCCACAACTAAGAGAAAATACTATTTGGTATTTCTCAACATGATCATTGAATAAAGTCTACATAAACATTCACAACCCCAACTTAGACTCTAGCCCAACTTACAATACAAAGTGAATATAGCAACATGTTTATGTATGTGCATTAGTTATAATTAGTCTCGCGCCTCGAAATGCTACAACAAACCATATGGCCAAATCTAGATTAACTAGTGAATATCACGATGAACTACAGTGCCACAAAAAAGTCATGTTAGGTAGTCTCAAACGAAGATCATCTGGCGCATACTGCCATCACCTTGCAGGAGTCGGTTGTAGAGCGATGTGACCACAACCCTCCTCTATGTAAAAGCCGTAGCAAGGCTATCGACACACACCATCTTCGCCGCCTAGGCTGCGGCTGGTCAGTGGCAATCCAACGGAACCTAGGTCCGGTAGGCAACTACTCTAGATAGAAAAGAGATGTGGTCTAGTGACTAGGAAATGTTCATATTTCAGGACCGTATGAAAAAGCATCCTATATGAGAACACGCGTTTCATTAATACCCTCAAATCAACTTCGTAATCTTCGTAATGCACAAGATGACCCGGTCCAGCAAATCAGTCGTCTAGCCGGTCTTCCGCGTCAGACAAGATCTGGTTCATCGGCAGGAACTCGTACGGTCCCAAGTCCCAGCTGAGGGCGTCTTCCTTGCGGTCCGGGGTCCGGATGGCAGAGCAGGTCATGTAGTCCGGCCCTAGGGAGCGCAGGCAGATATTTGCATCGTCGACCTTGTTCCCGTGGAACAAGATCTCGTGGTCCTTGATGATCTCCTGCTTCTCGACGACCTCGCCATCCGGTAGTTGCACGAACCCCTGGCCGGGGTGCGGAGCCCGGAAGTGCTTGAACTCGAGGTCCTTGAGCCATGGTGCCAGGAGCGCCTCGCCCGTCATCTTAACGTAGGCCTCGCGTAAGCACCAGAGCGTGTAGAAGGCTCGCAGCTTGAAGTCGATGATTTCATCGCCGCGTGCCAGCGGAGGCAGGCCTGGCTGTGTGCTCAACAGGTCACCCTTCAGGTAGCCCGCCTCCGACCGACCGAATACATCCGAGTGCATGTCGACGAAACTACCCCAGCCCTCCGTATTGATAACCTTATAGTCGCGCGCACGACGCTCGCTCGTACAAACTACATCTGTCCCAACATCAACTTTACCGTCATACCCGGCCACAGCTACGAGAGCGACGATGCCGGCCTGGTGACTAACATTGAACGCGACGGGTTGCTTGCCCGTAGCAGGGTCTACGTAGACGGGCTTAGTCTTTTCGTCCCGCGTCAGCTTAGTATCCCACCACGAAACGCCAGCATATTTGCTGACGACCCAGTGCTTAAGCAGATGCGAAGCAAGCGACATCTTCGCATCGGCGACAAAATAATATCTTAGCACTGCCTTCTTCTCATCCTCAGTGAGGAGGGCCAATGCGCGCGACGCCTAGACTGACGTGAGTTGTTTAATCTACCCGTCGCAGGACAAAAACGAAGTTAAAATTGCTCATACCTCTTTCTCGAGGTCTTTTGTCTTGGTCGCCCCGGGCCATAATTGACGGGTGTCGACAAGGTATTGTATGACCTCTACTTTACCCGATCCCATGGTGTTTTTTGTTGGGTTAGGAATGGTGAGGAGGTTCAAGTTGTAGCTAGCAGGTTTACAACTTCAGTTAGTTATAGTTATAGAAAACGTGAAAACATGAAAACATGAGAAGAAAGAAGTTCGATCGGGTCTATCTTACCTTATCTCACTTTAAACTACCTAAAAGTCCTTATGCAGCTATGGCACATCAATTCCTTCGTGCAACATTCTAATTCATTATTGGCTCTAGAATTGGTGGAAGAGGTAGGTACTTGTTCCTACTTGCCATTTGCATTGGTGGTTGAGTGACAGCGCTGATGGGTACATAGCGGCGGCGGCTACCGATACTATGTAGCACCAGAGTCCGCTGAATAGACTTTCCACTAAGCTTGACATAAGCCTAGACCCACTGCTAGAAATCTATCATCTCTACTAGAAACACATCCGACCACATGTTTACCTATTTATTTATATTTACCTTTTTTACCCTTTTTTTCTTATCTTTTTTTATTTACCTTAGAATATTATGTTGTGTCAAAAACTTCCTGTTTTAAACACATGCCTTGCTACCTTATGCGAATCTTTCCTGCCTTATAAGAAGTAGCAAGAAATAAATGAAAAAGGAGTTGGAATATTGAATATTGTTAGGGTATAAGTGGCTCAGGGGTAGATTTAGGGGTGAGTCTACTAAGATCAAGTATATGAAAAACGCGCAACGCCCTCGTAAGAGGGTAAAATGCAAGGATCAATGGTTTTTAACAGTATATGACTTGTATAATAATTAAAAGTCTTATAGAAATAGGGTGTGGTGTAAACCTCGGGCTTATGTTTTATTCTCTTGCATTAACTACCTAGCTATGTATAAACAGCAACGACAGTTTGGACTTGTAATTTTCCACCGCTATAATGACATTCGTATTATTGTTCCCAAAGGCACTATGCATAAATAGTAGCCTTCTCCGGGACTCCGTATCTGTCCAATGCAATGAAATGCAATCCAAATTATATCCCCTTATTCAAAACCAAAGCCAAACATGAAAACTTCCTCCCCGTTGATAAACAGCCACCAAGCTAAACCAATATGTTAACCCATGAGGTTATCATGGTAGCATAATACATGATAGTGGCATAAAACAATTTCAGTCCTGTAAACCATCGTTTGTGCTTCGTGTCGTCGTAAGCGAGACTTTAGCATCCTGTTGAGAAAGAGGGAGCTTTACTCCTCCTCCGAGACCTCCGACTCCTCTTCCTCATATTCTTCTTCCTCCGGTTCTTCCTCCAATTCTTCTTCCGATTCTTCTTCCGATTCCTCTTCCATTTCCTTTTCCGATTCCTCTTCCGAGTCATATCCCGAGTCATATCCCGAGTCGTCCTCCGAGCTTTCCTCATCCTCCGTGTACACCTTCTCCTCCTGAACTTCCTCAGTCTCTTTGACCTCCTCGGCCACCCCATTCACCTGGTATCCCTGGCATTCCTCCTTTGAGTCTGAGTCTTCACCATCGCCAACCATCTCCGGCGCGAAGACCCTAGCGAGGTTCTCCAGGCCAATATTAATCATACCGCCGAACCCGGTGTAGGACTCATCAGGATATATCTCCGCGATCACTTTCACGAAGTTATTGTCGATTATATCGCGAAGATCTTCAGGGTCTAATGGATCCGAGTTATACACGAAGGTCTCGTCATGGTCTCCTGCATTGAAGTCGTAGTCGGGGAAATCGAAGTCATATCCGGAGAAATCGATAGCAGTGGTGGTAGGAGTGGTGGTGATGGTGGGAGGGGTATAGGGATACTTCTGCCGGGGGGTGATAGTGTTAGAAGCAGAAGCGTAGACCATCTCTGTGGAGGTAGGCTCAGCCGAAGCCGGACGGCAACGCTTGATCGGGTGGCCCCGTTGGTCATTGTCCTCCTGCGTCGGCGTGACGAAGGCCTCATCGTACACGCGCTTGATTCCTACTGGTCCCAATGGAGTTGTGGTAGTCTCCATGTTGCCGTTTGATAACTCTGTGGTAGGCATCGAGTACATAGACTGCTCGGCCTCGGGGTTTATGGCGTGAGCGTTGTTAGACATGTCGGTAGTAGTGTAGGTATCCATTGTGTTGATTATTCAGTGGTGTTTCTAATTGGTATTTGATAGGCGGCTATCAAGTAGAGGGTGACTTCAATAAAGGGGTAATGTATTTCAATAGATGAAATGTATGATTAGATAGGATAGTCGAATTAATTGCCTGCTGTAGTAGGCTGTAGGTGTTCCTTGGTAAAAATGATCTCTATTTGGATCCCGTATTTTTGTATAGCCGAGTATATAGACAGTTAATACGACTATATCTCTCTATGCTGATATATGTTAGGAGTGCTTTGTTGTGTATGTTGACAGTGGCGTGTATACCTTCGTATGATAGTAGTAGTGTGTGTATATAAAATATACAACGATAGTGCCGTACGGCGTATAAGTGTTGCTGATAGTGACCCAAGATATAGGCGTTAGGTAGCAGGTGGAAACTAGTCAGGGATAAACAATATATAATCGTAGATCAAGAATGGTCTCTATAGTAGTTGATTCTCTATATTTGCTTGCCAATTGAAATGGGAATAGTAATGAGAGTAAAATTATTCGAATGATGTGCCTAGTAGGCGGTGATGGCTTTGTGATTGTAGTTGAGTATATTCGATATTCGAGCAATTATGTTCGAACAGTTGAGTATCTTCAAGCAGTTGAGTATTTTCGAACAGTTCGAATTTGCAGATAAATTGCTTAGGGGGAAAGGTGTGAAGAATGAGAAGGATGAGAAGTTTCCATGGGTGGGTATTTATCAACCCCGTTGCCCTGGCAGTAGAAACCTAAACCTGCTCTCAGACTTCTGATTCTATATTTTGAAGTGAAAAGTATAGAATGTACTAGCTACTTACAAGCTGTTGGGGAAGTCAGAGCACCTGCTGACGTCCTATAGGGACAGTATAGGGCAGAAAAGGTCCAAGGTACATTCATACAATATAAACCGTACTGGGTTAAAAGCTCTGAATATATTCCAAGTTAATATACAGTCATTATCCTAGCCCAGATTGCCACCCAAATTCATGCCTGAAACTTTTGTCAAAGATCCTGCTATACGGACGCTTATGAGCTCGCACCCCTTTTAAGACTAGATAACACCTCTCGTGGGTAGGAACCTCGGACTCACATATTTCGTACATATAGTCATATCGTTCATGATAGCTTATATTGAGTTTACTAAGCTATACTATAACGCCGTAGAATAAAGTATTCGAAATCGTCTATAGAGGTCTGAATAGCTACCTAATGTTTATAGTCGATGTTATACACCAAATATTCGTATTAGGCCTACAAATAAACCACAGTGACTCTTACTAACATCCACCTTGGATATAAAGTAAAATAAATATCTTAGCAGTTACCATACACAGGCCTTGTACTTCTATTTTACCTAGAGAAAAGGTCCCCCCTTGGCTTTTGTCAATGTACCAATGGGCTAGTCATGAATTGTCACCTTTGTTATTGAAATGATCACGAGAAAATAAAAATAGAATATGCACGTCTATAACTGTAAGTATAATCCTAACTAGTCGACTAGTTTCATTTAGTTACGTGGTCTGATTACTAGGTATGCTTCTATAAATTTAATCTTATTATAATGTTCAGATGGCATGATTCACTTAAAGCCAATTGGGGACGTCAAGTTAGACCTAAAGCCAATTGGGGATGTCAATTTAGGTATTTTGGTGCTAGGACTTCACACGTGTAGCTATGTAGTATTTTCAACTATAACTACGTCTATATCTGTGCCCCTCTATGAATTGCTAGTTTCGTTGGGTGCTGGAACCTCGATCGAAAAAAGGAAAACAGGGTAGCCCTTATTTTTCTTGGCTTCGGGCTTAGAATCCTTCTCAGCCTTAAGCTCGCCTTTCTCGCCAACCTCTTCGTTGGAGGGGGTGTTCTGTTTGGTCGACTTGACATTAGGGGAAGCATCATCATTAGCTTTGGTATCCACCTTATCTTCTGCCTTGTCGTCACTCTTGCTATCATCCTTCTTGTTTTCCTTAGCCTCGTCCTTGCTTTGAACAATATTAATGACATTTCCATCTCCATCAACTTCCACTATTGTATCTGCGGTATCTAGACTACCATCTTCTGTGTAGTCCCACATCTCGCGAAGTTCCCCCCTGAATAGGCCCGTAATCCAAGCGGCGAAAACAACGCCAGGAACAAGGTATAGTAATGCTGGCTGTGCATGGCGGTAGACTAATAGCATAACCAAAGTCACCACCATAGCGAGCAGGTATCCGATTAGAGAGGCGTAGAAATACGGTTTAGAGAATGTTGCAGCTTTTAGTGCAGGCGTGGCATCTGTTGATAATTTGCCAAATTTTGTGCTCCAGAACCAATCTCCCCATTGCCCCTGTGGGCTGACGTAGTCCGCTTTGACTACCATGCGTTGTGTCTCCGTATTAGTGACTGATTGGCCTGAAGACTCATCCTTACTTTTTAACTCTACGGGAATAAATTTTCGCTGCCGGTAGTAGTACATGTAGAGATCAAAACGCAGGCATAGCCCGACGAAGATTCCGGGAAGTACAATGTCACCCAATCCGAGCATACTAGCTTTAGAGGGTCCTTCGAAGACGAGTTTGATAGGGACGTCAAGTTTGGTAGCGACTGTTACCATGTAAGGGCTGTACTCAAGTGTAAGCAAAGAGAATTGTGATGATAATAATAGACAACACAAGAGACTTACGTATAAAAAACCATGTAAATGTCGTAGAAGAAGAGCCCAAAAAGGACAGCAGTTCCAGTGGCGAACGTGGTTGGAGACATCAAGATGATACCGGTGTAAGAAAAGGAGTACCCCATAAGGTTGGATAGGAAGGTTGACTGCGTCATATAGTATACTATGTTTGCTTGAATGGCAAGGACAAAACCAAGAATATCATTAAACTTGACTTTAAATTTCTGGTTCGTAATGCCGTGGATTGAGAGGCGAATAGTCCATTCTTCCATAAGTAGATGACGTATCTCCCAAAGTAAATTGTTCGTCGCATCGGAAACACCTAACTCAGACCACCAATATGGAAGAGGACTTTTCTTCTTGTCATCCCATACTTGCTCGGCGGAGTCCCTATTAACAGACCACTGACCCTTTTTCGAGGTGTCGATATGGTATAACCTACCATTCTTTGCAAGCCACACGGTAGGGAAGATAAACCCAGTAATGTTATTTAGTGAGTCGGCAAGGAGCTTCCCCATGGCGACAAGAGACATGACTGAGAAGTATGCTCTCAATATCTTATTGAGGATCTCCGGGTCATCAAGCCATTTGATCAAGTAATAGAGTCCCGTGAGGACCGTTCCCGCCATGATAGGAAGCATAATGGCATCAGAAGGCAGAAGGCCTTGAACAAGCTCATCTTCCCTGTCTTGGTCTTTCCGGCCTCCTTTCTTACCCTTCTTGGCGGGATTTGCAGACGGAGGGCGACGAAGGGCTGCTTGAGACCCGATATAAATGCAAGCCATTGCCGTGAAGATGATGCGGCCCTCGAGAAGAAAAAAATCCCTATTGTTCCAGAGGATTTCTGGTAGGCTGGCAAGTTTCTCCGTAAGAGTCTGATTGGCTGCTAGAGACTCTGTGACGTTTGCGGCTAAGATCTCGCTCGCCGCGAGAAGAGTCGAATTGTCACTAGCCATGTTTTACTTGGTATTGAGGTCAAATAGAGACGAAGCAATATGGGCTGAAGTTGTGGTTCGAAAGATTGTGTTCAAAGATACCGAAAGTGAAGGAGAGGCTGTTTGTTGTATGAATTTTGTTTATGCAGCATAAAACGAAGGCTACGTCCTCAAACCGGCTCTACTCTTTCTAAATTTGACGTAGCAACGGTTAAGTGAGATATAGAATTTTTAACTCTTCAACAATTCATCGGAAACCTTTAGTAGCTGGTGAACGAGAGTGTAGGAGAAGCCGTGAAAACGTATATAGCATCCAGAGTCTTCACCTGGAGAACTGCGCAGATGTTAGATCTTAGGGTGCATTAGGTACACATAATTTGCGTCTGGACTAAAAACAAAACAAATTCCCGATGATGAGGATATATTTATTTTGGGGGAAACAAAAACAAATAAATTATCTTCTAGTCCACAAAGGTGTTGTTCGTGGAAGAAGGCAAAGATATGTATATGTACCTGGCCGTTTGTAGCTGGATGACCTAAATGTGTGACTTAAATGTGGCTTATTCGTAAGGCAGTTTTGCGCCTGGAATCCGCGGTTTCCTTCCGTATTGAGAAATACTGATAAATGCATGACTCAGGAACGGCCAATTGAATAACTCGAGGCACCGCCCCTCCAAAGCTCCAAATTAGAATCTCCATCTTTTGGAGCTTCAAAATAGCTTCAAAATAGCTTCAATTGACACCGAAGCTTGTGATCTTATATACCTACCTACCTTCTAGAGCCAATCTTGTACCGCGCACGTCCGACCACTCAAGATGACTACTAATGTCGCCCTCGATACCTCCATGGTACGTACACACGTCTATACTCACATCTTCACTCACATCTATATCTGCCTACCTACCTACCTAGGTACCTACCTACCTACCTACCTACCTACCTACCTACCTAGGTACCTACAAGCTCTTCTCCCACTAACCTCCTCCCCCCAGGGCACCATAATCCTCGAGCTCTACACCACCCACGCCCCCCGAACATGCACCAACTTCCGCACCCTCGCCCAGCGCGGCTACTACGACGACTGCGTCTTCCACCGCATAATCCCCAACTTCATGGCGCAGACCGGCGACCCGACCGGCACCGGCCGCGGCGGCACCTCCATCTACGGCGACAAGTTCGAGGACGAGATCGCGCCTGACCTGCGGCACACCGGCGCCGGTATCCTGAGCATGGCTAACGCCGGTAAGGATACCAACGGCTCCCAGTTCTTCCTGACCCTGGCCCCGACCCCGTGGCTCGACGGCAAGCATACCATCTTCGGCCGCGTCAAGAGCGGCCTGGCTGTTTTGAAGCGCTTGGGTATGGTGAAGACGGGTGCTGATGATAGGCCTGTCGACGAGGTAAAGATTATCAAGGCGAGGGTGCTTGATGACGAGGAGACCGTCTAGTGACCAGACATTTGATCATATTCGTTGCATTTATCGCGAGGATATATATCATGGTCACGAGGATGTACGATATGCATAAGTTGGCGTTTCGGAGTTCGAAAAGGCTTCACGGATTAGACGTAGAGATACCAAATCAAATCAAATCAAATCACATAACATTCGTGGTATATATGTGCGAGTCAACTGTAACCCCCCTCGCACTAGCCGCTAGACGGCTTGAATTACATATGTGCAAAAGAAGCCTTCTAAAGATACAGTTTGATGATTATGATAATGCACGCCAGATGTTCCTATCTGGATCAGATGCAGAACATTGCCTAACCCCAGCCCCTATATGCTCGCTGGCAATATAGCCCCCGGAACCCCTTGAATGCAGTGCTGCGGCCAGTGTATGAGAAAGTTGTGAAGGTGCCAGGCGGAAGAGAATTTCCAGAATTCTCGTTGGATAGTTGACGTCTGTAATGTTTCGTGATGGAGGGATGGAGGGATGGAGGGTATCGTGGTTTGTCTAATATCTCAACGAGAAGTTATCCCTCGACTATACAACCGGCGGGGATGATAATGTTCCTGAGCTTTCAGACTCGCGGTCATCATCTCCTCCACCGCTGGGCGCCGAAGTCTTACCATTGCTCTTTGACATAGGCGATGATATTAGTGGTTTTGACGCTCCTAATTTCAGCTTCTTAGCCGGACTAGGCACCTTCGTTATCTTCTTCTTTGGCGCAACTTCTACGGTAGATCCTTCCGCATCGTCGTCGTCCACCTTTTGTTCCACACTCAGTGAGGAGCTAGTCTTAACCTTTTCTTTCTTGTTGCTAGAAGCGTTCTTCTGTTTAAAAATCACTTTCTTGTTGGCCGCGTTCGCGGGCGTGGGCTTCAATTTCTTCTTCTTGTGCGAGTCATTGTCTGTGTCGTCGTCATCATCTATCTCGTCACTGTCTCTCTTCTTATGGGGACTGCCGGCCCTGGAGCTTGGGTGAGGAGTGCCCTTCTGACTAGATGGCGGAGTGCCGTCGCCATTCCCGTTCGTGTTGCTGCCATTGCTGATCTTCTGCGCGGCCGCACGGCTGGCATTACGCCCGCTATTTCCAATACATGATCCCATATGGTTATTTAATCGGGTGACCAGGATGCAGCGCTTGCACTTGCTGCAGGTTGCCGACGGGAATGAGAGCATGTTTGGGGGCCGTGAGGCAGCACCTCCACCCGTTCCTCCTTCTGGAACTGGCGTCTGAGAGTCCGAGTTTTGCTCTAGTTTCTTTTCCATGTCCTTCTTTTTCTTCCCCCTCCCTGGCCCTTGTGCGACCCATGTTTGACCGTAGATGTCGTAGCCGGGCTTGTCGATGTACGGGTGTTTCTTACAGTAGATTATGCTCGGGTCGGGTTTCCTTGCTCCTTTGCCGTCTGTAGGATATAATAATCTTGGGAGATGGCATCTTGGGCAGACAATGTCCTTGGTGGTAGCTAGCGGGTTCCCCTTCAATAACACCTTCCCTTCGTCGTAAACAGCCGCGTCTGTTTCGACCTTGACGTCTGGCCGAGCGTCGGGCGCGGAGGAATCCGAGGTGTCAGCAGCTAGCTTCTCGACGCGAATGGCAGCGGTTGAGGCGCGAGCAATCTTCTCCTCTCGATGCGTCTGCATTAATAAATCGTGCACGATGTTGTAGAGTAGATCATCAAGAATAGCATGCGCCTATAATACAACATGGTTAGCTGTATTCGCATAACTCGGGTTGTAATAATAGTTATGTTGGGAGATGTTATAAACATGTAAACTGCCAACTCACAAGCTGGTCCATTCTCCCGGCGCCTTCTGGAGCTTTAAGAACTCCAGCCTTGCCGGTATTGAATGAGGCCATGGTGAACACTCAGTGTGGCCGCGTACCGACGTCGAAATATATCAAAGGTATTGACGACTTTGGCTAGAAATGCACGAGATCCCAAAGGCTGACAAATTACGCGAAACCAAACTCCAAAGGAGGGATAAATGGAAATGCTGGCGTTTGGATCGGAAATATTAAAAGTAGGGGAAAAGTTCAAGTAAACGGTATCCACCTCTAGAATACCAGAATACAACCCCCTAAACTTTTGGAGGGTTTGGAGGGTTTGGAGGTTTTGGCGTTTGTTTTAATTTAGTACCTAGGTTAGGAACGTCCTCAATTGCGATTGCTGTCTGTCGGTGTTAAAAACACCAGCGATGCTTAGGTAGGTATGTAGTAGCTTTATTTTGAGGAATGAGGTCCTCTTTTTTCTTTTTCTTTATCGTTAATTCCTTTCAGGCGCGCGAACGGGGAGAAGGATCCAGGCGAACGTCCCTTCCAAATAGGTAGTTAATAGTATTAACTACCTGTACCTAACCGGAGGCTGAATTTTTGACCCGTAAGCCTGACAGTGTAGTACAAACTAGCCGCGATAGCGAATCAACTAACTGGAACCCCCATGCATTAGTGGGCAGAAGGGTCCCGGATCTTTTAAGGTGCGCTACGTAATACCATGCAGTACCTGAATTTGTACATTGAATACCTCAACGTACCTACCTATAATATTAAGGTTGATGGGCTGGAACTCTAATAAATTAGGTTCATAATGAGGGAAAGGATTATTCCTAGATCTGTAATTGCTATGACAGTTATGACAGGATCATAAACTTCTTCCCCTCCTCCTAGTACTAAGCCACCTAATCACCATGTAAATCAAGAATCATAGGTAGCGTCTTACAGCGGTACCTACCTAACCTATGTAAAATAAAGTGTAAGCTGACCCCCAATGGAGTTATCGATAATTGCCAAGCCATTGTTTTTTTTTTTTCTCTTTTCGTTAGGTAATCCCTACCTAGGTTACTAATTTACAATTTACATGCGCCGCGCGAGCCCGAGGTCCATAAGGCACTTAACGCGGTCTCGCCTAAGCCGCCATTCTTTTCTTTCGTATTGGATCTCGCCAATTCGAATATTTGCGTGTTTATGGTCTCGTGCCATGGCAACAACTTCTTTCTCTCTCAGCTGACAACGGTAATATCGGATATTTAACTTGGAATAAACATGTCTCTTCCCTCCACTAACGCCAATGGGCAATCTTCAATCCGGAATTTCTTCCAACCCAAGACGCCATCATACGTTCAACCCCCCGCCGTCTCCCGGGCACAGGCAGCACCTCCTGTTCCTCCACCGCCGCCGTCGGTAGCCGCCGTCCCCTCTCCAACAGCTGAACAGAATGGCCCGAGATCACCGCTGTCTCCAGTCCCCACGACCGCACCACTAACAAGGCCGCCGTCCCTTCACCCTCAAGCGACTATCTCGCCAATTCTACCCGAACACGTCCCTGCTCTACGACGCATAACCTCTCTCCTCCTACCCGTCAACTACCCCGATTCATTCTACGCGCGTCTCTCTGACCCCCTTTCCTCCGGCGCATTCAGCCGTGTGGTTCTCTGGTCTGACCCGTCCGATTCCAATGGCAGTCCCAAAGTTATCGGGGGTCTAGTCTGCCGGCCCGAGCCGTCCCCGTTTACGTCTTCGTCCTCGAGGAAGTCCTCATCGCAGCCCATGACTCCTTCCTCCCAGCCTAACGCGCTGTACATCCAATCTTTAGTCCTACTCTCGCCGTACCGGCAGCAGGGGCTCGCTGCGGCGCTACTAGACGATGTGGTGCGGGCCGCGGTCACGAGCCCCTTCGTCTGTGAGGAGGTGTACGCGCACGTGTGGACTGATAACGAGGACGGATTGCGCTGGTACCTTGCGCGCGGTTTTACTAAGCACGGCCAGGTAAACGGTTACTACTTCAAGCTGCGACCCGACAGTGCCTGGATCGTGAGGCGTAGCATTGGCCCCGTTGCCTCGGCCCTAGGATTGAACGGTGCAGCGGCATTGAGTAGTACGGGAATAGAAACAACGATTCCGCCAAGCACCACAGCCGCAGCAGCCAATCTTCTAACTCGGCAAGCTCCGACACCGCCGGCTCTAGCAGCTACTTCGGGGCCCGGTATACTCTCAGCACCGCCAAGAAGCAACGGGCCCTCGCCGAACCGCAGTCCTGGTACGGGAGGATTGTCATTCCAGAACGCGCGGCCGGAGACGGAATGGAACGACTTGCCAGCAGACATGCACGCCTCGCGCTCTGCGGCCAGCGGCCCAGCCAGCAACGCAAGTTCGCGGAGCAGCTCCACCGCGCCACGGAAGAAGAAGGACCGCGCGTACCCTGCTGCTGCCTTCGGCAAGTAGATAAATATCTACCTTCCCCCACGACCCGACCTTCAACAGATAATCTGGGGTCCTGCGGGTTTTATCACGGGATATAAAAGATCCCTCTATCAGCCAGAGAGGAAACGAGGAATGAGTTTGACGGTTATATATGTGGCGTAAGTCTGCCGCCTACGTGCGCACGACTGCAATGGACAAGCATGGAAAGGTTGGAAAAGGCAAGGCAAAGGAGCCGGTAATTTATGCATAGTATATTTGTGTGATCTGGATGGAAATATTGTTTAGGATATTGTTGCGCGGCGGAGTTGAGTCGAATTGAGTCGCGCCAATTTTTATAGAGCCCGTTGCAATGCATAGAGGGGAAGAAAATGATGAGAACCCAGGCCTTGAGGCTGTCTATAAGTGTTCACAGCCCCTCAAAAATTGATGGTGCTATTTCGTAAAATACGTGATGAACTTGTTTGCTATTGAGCCTTGTATGACGGGGCCCAGGCACAGATAACACGCCAATAGGGGGGGTATCATTACAAGAACCTATCTCTTATAATATGTCCAAAACTTACCCGATTAACTTCATGACCTTATCTAAGCATCTCCTGACAATTATCAACACAGTAAAGGACATAGAATATAACTTTCATAATATTTATTGTATTAGGTCATGATTGTAGGTATATAAACATTCATTTTCTTCGTATTAGGAGTCGTGTTCGTCATGCTACCGTTGTCGACTCTCCGGCCTCCGGGATCGCGTCCACAAATCTCTCAACTACACTATTCCTAATGTAATTCAAGTAATCCACAATACCCTTCTTTTCCATACTCGCAGCAACGAGTGCGATCAAAGCTGCGCCAACACCGCTGCCGTCCTTGGCAATTCCGATGCGGATTCGCTTTGCTCCCTCCGGACCAATACCTTCAATCGCACCGAGCGCCTCGTAGATCATGTCCCGGAAGAAGGGGTAATGCTCAACGAGACTGCCGTCAACGCCGATGTCGATCGGCTCATCCGTCGACTTGTCTAGCTCACCACTCTGTAGGACAATCGCGCCAAGAGCGACGGCAGAGAGCCGCGCTGCCCGACGTCCAACAGCGTATGCTACGTTTTTGAATGCCAAAGCATCTTCAAGCGAGGCAGCATATATTTGCAATTGTTTTTCGAGTTCTTGGCGAAGGGATGAATAATCCGGAGTGTTATCGGCTGCGGCAATGGACATTATCGAGCTGTCGAGGCCCCATTGTTGGAATATTCCAGATTCGGGGCCTATCGTAGTGGTAGACTTCCAATCGTTGTGACTAGAATTATCATCGCGGAACAACGAGATCTCGGGTCTCTTCAGCATATCGACAATTACTAGACGGACGATCTCGCCTAGAAACATGCCAGATACCCGCTTCTCAAACATCTGGATGCCCGGATTCACGCTCTTCTTGTCCAATTCTATGTCGTACGAAGTATTCGGCAATGTGTTCATCTGGTTGTCGAAGGAGCCCCACTCAGTATTTATGACCATCAGACCCGTCGACTTGTCGTAGTCGCCCTCGACAGGCTTTTTAATGTTGGAAATCTTTTCCACGTAGGCACCATTGGTTCCAGTTCCGAAGATGGCGCCGAGAAGAGTAGATGTTTTACCCGGAGAAGTGTAAGAGCGAGCCATAAGCGTACCAACAGTATCATTCACCAGAGCAGCCACTTTGACAGGGAGGTGAAGCCTATCGATCTCCTGCTGGAGTAACGCGCATACGTCTTTGCCAATAGCATCCGGGATGTCAAACCCCTTGGTCCACCTCATAAGAGTTCCCTTGTTAATTCCATACTGCTGGACTGGGAAGCTAAAAGTAAAGCCAAGTCGAAATATATGCTCGTCCCGGTAACCTTCCGGAGTGCTTACCGTCTGCCGCCGGCGCACGTGAGCTTCGAAGTGGTCTTCATGGTGAGTTCTGAGAAATTGCTCGATCTGCTTAGCTAAGAACGAGAACAGGTCGCTAGCTTGCTTTGCGACCATTAATTCCTTCGGGATCGCTACTTTGCTGTATGTCAGGTTGAAGGTGGTGTCGCCGTTCAAATGAATAGAACAGACTCGGAAATTCGTGCCTCCCAGGTCGACAGCTAGGTATAGCCCCTTTTCCATGTAAGCGAATGAGTTAGCAACGCTGAGGATACCGGCCATACCTTTTCAGTGCCATTGGGAACGCCAGTGACGTATGTAGGTATTTGACTCAAACTCGTGCCATCGTGTTCTAAGCCCTCACCTATGATTATGTTATGTTAGTTAAATTCCCAAACCTGATTAATACACGGTCGTACCCATTTGCCGAAGGAACTCTTTGACGCCTTTGTTCACATCTTCGTCTGTGTACTCAAACTGCGCGGTGACGCGCTTCGTCTCTTGTGCGAGCGCCATTGTGCGTGCGCGAGATACGGGCGGGGCGGTAGGAAATGGTTGAGGAGACTCGCACACGGGCTCTTGGACTGCAACGGCAGGAGGAGACGAGATAGTACGAGAGAAAGGGGGTGATGTGAGGATACTTGAGTATTGAAATTTGACGTTCATGAGGAAAAGTTGCGCGACCTATAAGTTGGAGGGGCAATTAGCAAAGAGAACCCCAATTGCGTCAAAATGCTTCAAAGCGGGGCCGAGCGCCTATGATACGTATAATACATAGTAGGACGTAGGTAGTGCCACATAGTGTGTAATAGGTGAGTAATAGGGGCCGTGGGCACCACATAAGTAGATATTTTATCTACTATGTATACCAAGCCGTGGGTCTATGAAAAAAAAAATCCCACTTACCAGCACAAGGATGAGAATAAACAGTGAGAATATGCGGATGGATGTAACAGAAGGCCGAATCTCCGCCTTATTGTCGTGCTGTCGGGCCTTTTTGACCTTTAGATTGTTATCGTTTGTGTTATCGTTATGCGATGCAGCGATGCAGATCGACGAGGGATCATCTTCAGCTCTGGCGCTGAAGCGCCAGGCTTTAATGTACTGGGACAATGTGAAAGCCACGGCGAGTTTCGCGGGGCTTTAGTGGGGTTAACCGTGATAGTCTGGAGACTCGGAGGAGAATCGTCATCAAGACCCCGTTCCCCAGGCTGCAGACGTCGCGCGATCGGGTACTGTGCAGGGTACTGCCCAGTGGCCTGTAAAAAGGACCGGCTCGCGATGATTGGGTTCAACGGGCAAATAATAACGCAGACAAGCTTGAATTTATTGGTAACCGGGCCGTATATGAGCGCAACCTGCAGATCACCTAGGTCGCTTGCGACGGATGCGATGATATCATGGAGATCCACCCCTGCAGGAAACCAAGTCTAGACCCAATGCCTCGCTTCGTTTGGTAGGTACTGATTATTAGCCTAGCAGCATCAATTTGATTTTGTCCCGTGGCCAGAGGGAAAAGCCGGGGTTGATACTGGCACCACAATTGAATCGTGCTCCTCCCAACGCCTCCGAGGCAAATTGGCAAGTTGGTCACTTTCTCTCAGCAACAACACGAGCAACACGAGCAACGACCGGAATACCTAATGTTAGTTAATTCCTAGGCCAAGGCCCTCGGTGGACACCGTGGGGTGATGCGAAACCACGAGCAACAAGTGGACGGCTAAGCTTAGGGTTCACTCGCTGCAACTGAACACTGCATCCTACAGAAACCCCAAGGATTCAGATGAGCTTATGAGATAGGATAAAGGACGAATTCAGCCAATTGAGAATTGAGCCACGGCGGCGGGCTGGCTGTGAGCGAATCAGAGAAGCTTAAAAGGTGAGTTGTCAGAATTAGGTGGCTGCGCAACAGATAAAACAGTAACGAGAATGACCAGAGGTGAAGCTACGATATCTATCTGAATAGGAAGATGTGATGTGTAGTAGGTAATGAGGAGAATTTAAGATTGCGGTGAAGCTAAGGACATTTAGTATGTACAATGCATAGGTACCTGAAGTAAGTGTGCCCCTCCGTTTCACGATACCTGAAGTGGGCAGCTCCTTCCCAACAATAACTCATTTAATTACCTATGCAATTAACGAGGCATGTCATAAGAAGGATGAATAATAAGAGACCCTTTATGTCTACATATATTATGAAATAATTTAGATAATTGCTTAGGTCTAGCAACTTGATATAAGTGCAGGTGTATAAGAGTGTAAATACATGCTATATAGTTGGTTGAGGTAAGCTAAAGTCCCATAAATATTAAGAGATGCCGAAAATAATAATAGTGTCTTAGCCTACGGTAGTTCATTGACAACATCTATAGAATTGCCTTGTCTTATTGTACAATTCTATTTGATAGCCACTAATTTTGAATACGCACAGGTTGCTAAAATGTATAACAATGTCAATAATTTTGGCATGTTTTAAACTAAATACCTGTTGCTAGAAAGTTAGCCATGTTTATATGGTTTTCAAGAAGTCCTGACGGAAACCCAACAACGAATACATGGCATATAACACAACAAAACACCTCGACTCCCACGTACGACCATAGGATCTGGAAAATTCGGGATCCCGTCCGCTCTCCCCCCTTTGACAAGCCAGATACCGCCGGATTAGTAGTTGGGTCGGTAACGACCAGCGAATACCTGGTGTTGTACGTGTTACATTTTTATACTATCTAAACAAGCCTTACTACTTTCACTTTTATTAAGACCTTCCTACGGTGACGTATATTGTTTTTCATCTACTTAACATGGTATTAGTTATATCATCACTACTGTTTCAGAAACAGTAACTATAGTCCATTATCTTCAGGAGGTATGTTAAGTCTAAGACATCATTATAGGAGGTTCCTATTACAGGTTTAGCTAAGAACACCAGCGCAGTCTGTTAGGTAGTAGCCAGCTTCTCGTGTAGCAATATAACTTGTTATATCAACTGATGTAAACTTGGTGCAACTTGAGAAGCTTGAAAATATGCCACACCAAAACGATAACTCCGGAGTCCTTGTGTGATCTTTGTCACTATTTCCCGCCTGTCTTGAGTATAGGCTGCATCGCGATGGCTGTAGCGGTTCTATATGCTTTTCAGGGGAAAGCACTTTCAAGTTGGAAATTTGTCTTCCGAGTCAGTCTGAATTTTTTCGTATCCATACTCTCTGGCCTCTCCAGAGCTTTTCTCCTCGTCCCCGTCGCTTCGTGCACTAGTCAGCTAAAGTGGATTTATTTCACCAAGTCTGCCGTGAGCTTATACCGTATGGAAATATTCGATCTTGCGAGTAGAGGGCTCTGGGGTGCTATGGCATAGACTACCCGGAAATAACAGGGTTTAAGATTAAGTAGTCCGCCCGGAGATATAGAAACCTCTCGGTAGAGAACGGCACCATGTCTTTGGGATTATTCGATGAACTTCCACTCAACTACGTCTGGTCCATCACCGGTAATCATAATATGAGAAGTCTCTTAAAGTACTCTATCGCGTCTGATTGGGGAAACGCACCGCAGAGCAGCATCTTCACCATAAATCCAACTGATTACGACCGTATTGGAGCCTATCTCGCCAGTATTTTTTCGTCCTCTAACAGGTAGGGTCTCGATGAATTCTCCCAGTATCAAAGAGACTGTACGCAATATCACGGAGAGCATGGCATACACGACCGGGGACAACTACACTGCTACTCAGATCGCCGGCGACGTTATCACATTTGAACAATTCATTAGCGTAAAGTGGCTACGGATCACACTGCCATTAGTGGAAATTCTGATGGGGCAGATGTTGCTAGCCCTTTACACATCACTAAAAGAGGAGACATGGCGTCTTAGAAATCATCCAGTCTCATTCCCTTCCTAATCCAAAACAAAGGCTGAGAGGACGAAGACCTATCGGACTTCTCAATTAAGGGAATTGAGAGTATTTCGACGCATGTGAGGGTCCCTACAATCTAATATGGAGGCTACAATGTTTATTAGGGTTGGTGAAGGGCGAATTTAATGTATTCCAAGAGCCTTTTAACATCATCTTCGTCAAGGGTTAAAAGAATTTCTCTATACATAGAAGAAAGTGGAAGTCGTCCTTTTTTGAAGTTGTTCTTATAGCTATATGGCCAATCCTATTATAGCATGAGTTATTAATTAAGGGGTCCCGCCCATTTTTCAAGGTTGACCCTTGTTACTTCGAATTGAAATAAAAGGAGTCCCCAAGTAACTACAAAAACAAGTCGTGATAAGGTAGACTCATAAAGAAATACTCAGGTTTGAACTGGCCTAGATGATTGTTAATATATATGATTTTAAGCATTATACTAACCATGATTACGACATCGTCGAGTTATGCCATCTTAAATTACGAGCTTTGAGAGTTGCGAAATACCTAGGCATATTCTAGTCTCTCAGGGGTAATGAATCCCTAGATCCTCCAAGAAATCCGCCTAAAGGTGTTAATTCCAGCTAACGGGTGCTGCTCCTGCTAAGCACAACCCCGGGACTTAGGGGGTACCTTAGGTAACAATGCTTTTTATAACCTACCTACATATGTATCTAGGAGATAAATGTCGTCCGTCGCTTATATAAATCTTGGCCTTAATGCACCTGATCTTATATAGATCTTGACTACCTCCTAATTATCATTAAAGCTAAACGCCCCTGTTACGCCACTAAACGACGTCGATTGGATACTGAGAAATCATCATTTTCTTATCTCGATATTTGCATCTCGATAGCCTGCATGGAAATCCGGCACGACGTGTCTTTGACAGGCCATGGTTTCATTACAACCCCTCTTGTATTCCTTAGAGCGTGGGGAGGTTGAAGTGTAAAAACCTACGGTGCAGTTTACACAGAAGTGAATTTGATAAGAATAAGGGTTTAGTTGCGATAATTGTTCTATTAAAGTACGGTGGCAATTAATATCCTTGTTTGGTTGTTCATACATACTTGGTCTTCCCGTGAGTTCATACCTTAGCTTCTAGGCCCCCTTTTTCTCTCGGCGATCTTAGCTTACAGACAGAAACAACCGTAATATCAACCGTCTTTGATCTAGCCCCCATTTCTATAGCGCTACTCCTGAGACATTTGTATGAGAACAGCAGAGATGAGAATAGGATAGCACAGAAATGTGTATCTTATAATTAGCTCGGTACTTTTCTCTAATACAATTTCTCTTTCAGGGAACACCCCCACGCTATCCTAATTTGATAGCAAACTGGTGCCTCAGCTGAAAGGCACGTTGGTGCTGTCTATCGTCCGACAAGAGTCACAATCAAAATCAAGTCGAGCCGTGCCATCCCACACAACTGCGAGCCTCGGTGATTACCCTGGCAATCTTCTATAATAAGAGAGCAAGGGCGACTCCAATTTCCTAGGCGAGTCAGAGTCACAAGCCGCCTCGCAATTGTGTGGTTAGTGTAGCTTAACCATGGTGTGATGCGGCTGAAAAGGCTCCCTATATGGAGGTAGCCAAATAGCGTCGTCTATAAAGACGAGTCTCTCCCGTCCGGCTAGTTGTTCAGTTGGGGTGAACGGAACCTAGGTTACTGTCATCTATCGACCAAATGCTCCAACATAATACCCCTATTCTATTCCATTACTTACTTCAACAAGAATCCCAACATTCTTCAGGGTCTACTTAGGTAGATATTACTTGAAGAAACAACAACCGTCATTTCATTTAGTTTAACATTATACGCATTCTAGGTATATATCCGAATCCGAGTAACTACTAACATAGATATCTCGGTAAATAGATCGTATTATCGAATTCGTTTACGATATTTCTAATCTATACTAGACGTAACAGCGGTTCTTGGGGATGCGATCATAATACCCATATTGCCTTCTCGGCGATTGTCAATTGATAGGTTTGGCGACACTTTTATTGCTGTTTTAGCTTAGGCTCGGTGAGTATACGATGGCTATCAGCGCAATTCCTATACTCACCGAACTTAACGTTGCATGCCAAGCATAAGCTAAGTATTATTATTTAGGTCACTTCCCGTTCGTATATTCACCGAAATATTTCATCAGGCGGAATGGATTTACTTCGACACACCATTAACTCCGCCTCGAACTAAAACTAGTTTGTCTAGACTGGATTTATTGTCCCTTTTTACATTTGATACAAGAAAATACATTTATTAGTAATTACTGACTGCTGCGTATCACCACCTATAGACGTACAGCCACAAAAACGACACTAATAAATGGAAGTATTCAAGATGCACACAATTCTGCCCAAGGCAATTCGGATTGAACAGTTTGAATTTTACAGCTGCAACATGAAAAATTACGGTGTCAAATAATGTTGCGTATAAGAGCAGGAATACAATTGCACTCTGTTAAACACTCGGATACCGCCGAATCGAGCGCTCGAATAATGGCGCAGCTCATATATCAGGGCATTTGGTCTATTTGTCCTTGTGGCTCAGTCTAGTCACTCGACGGGTTTACATCACGATTTGAATGACTTAACATTTGCGGTCGATGAAGGGCTGAACCCAGAGAAGAACAGAAGCAAATCAAATTCAACCCCCAATGCATAGCTCATTAGTCACGATCTCACGTGAGGTCAACGATGTGTTCTTTGACTTGTCAGTATATCGGGTTATTGTTTCTGTTTGGCTATCATTGCTACAGATTAATCAACTATACTATAGCATTGGATTATACTCCCCCATAGTTGACGCCCATGCCTATCCGCCCCGTACCGACGATGACACCGAACTAGATGTCTCGCTATAGGCTAGGTAAGCACCGCAAGCTAGCTCATGACCTACAATTTAATTAACTTTACCGGAAATTTATTATGACAACGCTTGCCCTTGGTCGCTTTACTACGCAGAGGCGAAGCTTGTACGCCCACGACCCGCTTGGACAGCAACGGGAAGCAAAACTATAGACTCACCAAGGGGTGAAGCCGTTTCTCAGACAAATTATTCACAAGTGTCACCAAGGACAGCGGTTAAAAAGTCGGTAAGTTCAAATTCCAGGTGTTGTCCTAACAGATATGCTAACCCCCAACAGTTAAATTATCCTTTGTATCATTATCTTCGAGTTTATACACCATGGCTGAGTATAGGTCCACTTCGACCTGAATTATATTGTAAAATATCGTCTATAAAGGCCTCAGGCCCTCGCAGGAAGGAAGCCCATCTCGTACTATCAGTCCACTACACCTCATATAAGTCACTCTCACCATTTCAAGATTCTCTACAGTTTCAATAACCACCCATCACTTTCAACATGCCTACTGCTCCACGCAACAGTGTCAAATTTTGGTATTGTTGCCAATGTAATTTTGGACCAATGACCGTCTCTCTCACACCCTCATGTGTACATTGCAATCGCCATGATCGTTGCTCCGATTGCAAAATGACAGTCAACAGTTAAGGCGGACTATCGGCCTTCTATATCTTCGACTCAAGAACTTCTTTGCATATCGACTATTACCCTTACGCATCCCTCGACAAAAAATCTATGCGCAACACGATTCATTGTTCGATATATTTCAGTTCATTTGCTTTCTCGACTCTCCGGTTTTTCAATTTATACTTCTAGATTTCACATTCGGCCCAGGCCCGGATTAGACATACCTACGCGAATATGCCCCGGACGGTGTACACGGTCGGGTCTAGCAGCAGTTTTTGTGCTTTTTCTTTTATTTGGATATAGGGAAAGGGCATACACCAATAAAAAGCAACTCAAAAGGATAGAATAAGGGAAAGGAGGGAGGGGGGAACGGGAAAAAGGACGAAAACCAACAAAAAGGGTGTTTTGGGGTACTGATTTCCACAAACATTCATCGTTCCTCTACTTGTTAATACCCTGGTCGTTCTCTCGCATGGATTGGTTATTGTGCTTAGGATTTTGGGATAGAATTTCTTAGAAGCATTTTCTCGTTTTACACATTAGATTAGATAGTTTATAGATTGGTTGGTCCTAATTGCTGCTGTCTTGACCCGCGCTTGTCCTTTGCACCGCCACAGGCGTTATGTGAACTTTCTAGTAATTAATACAGATAAACATTGTCCTTTCACTCATCAACATATTAGATAGGTTGCCTCAGACTATCTATTTACATTTTGCCACTCAACGGCCTGCCGCAATAGTCCCGTAGTAGGTATTACCTTTCACTCTATGCTTGTTGACTCACAATGGAAGGTGTCGAGTGACCAAACATCGGTGAATATTTGGCATTAGGGATTGGTTAAGCTCTTCTGCTAGGCATAATAAGTTATTAGACTTATACATAGACGAATCGGAGAGTAATCACCAATTATATCTCGGTAACACTAGCCCCTCTAGTTGCTATCACCAATAAAATCTACACAATTCCTACCGACTCTCAATGCTAGCGGGGGCAGTACATATTGGCTCTTTTTACTTCTCTATAGTCATTTAGCATGTACACATTCTCAAGTAGATAGATAGGTAGGTACCTAGGTATGAAATGAGGTTGCGATGGTGGCGGTGGCAAAGCCGTTTAAGCATCTCACGTCATAATCGTCAACGCCAGCACCGATTTCGTACATGCGATTCTGGTGCTAATATCTTGTGCCGTATGTTTCAATGTGCAAAACTATATGAAAATGACTTGAAATGTCTGCCTTAGTACTTACCGATGGTCTATCAACGATCTTAACAGCAGCAATTGGACCGTTTACGGTTCGTGTCACAAATACAACATATATTTCAATTTATAAGTTACACACGCATTTATATAAATGTGCCTCTTTAGCCAGTGACAGGTCACCCTGAGATCTACCATACCTAGAGATCGCTCACTTGTGGGTGTACGAGATGCATACTGGACTGGCTTGAAGGTCTTCTAGAACTTATCTAGGGGCCTCAATATCTAGCATGGCCACGTGGGTAAGATGCTACTACGTACACACCATCTTTTCGGTAGGGCTAGTTAAAGCTGCGATTGGTCACATACAATCCCGTGAGAGCTTTTGCATGTACGGTCAGCATTTGTCAACAAGCATGTGGTCTGGCCGGCCTCCGAACGTAACATAACTAAACGTCGGTGAACGGACGAGGCTCTCTATGGCCGGAAAACGTAGTATTCAGGACCAATTAATTTCCCCGTAGCGCTTTTCAAGCCCCCAAGGCTTACGATTTAGGTTGTCGGGCATCGATAGTTCAGCATCGCCACTTTTGTCCTTTATATAATCATCAGGTTGTTATATATGCCAGAGGGCATCATGGCCGGTATCTAGGTATCTACGCTATACTTGAGTGATATATATGTCCACAAGAATCTAGGCTAGATTGTCTCGGTAATGTTGCTCTTAAAAAGGCGGAGTACTGTGTCAGCATACCATTCGCTCAATTCCATTTGGAAATACCGAAAAAACTACTCTAGACTGCCCTTTATTCTTCCATATTGTCCTTTCCATTTCTTGTTTTTCTTGTCCAAACGACGCCCCATTGATACAGAATACAGAATCTCCAAGCCCACTAGTTCAAGGAGCTGAAAATGGCGTTTGATTTGTTGCTCGGCGCTCTTAGCGAACAGTGGCTTTATTAGATGAATCTGATAGGTTAATTATTTAGTATAATAATTAATTGCTAAATAGGCTGTGTTCTGCAATAAGGCAATCATGGGAGCGAAATGTAACTAGGTAAAATGTATAGAGCTTTTTCGTGATTATAAATCTTACACCGTTGGTAGTGCAAGAATAGGGGCTCTATCTACCATCTATGAGAATCTCCACTATGGCTTTCGTCTAAGCCATATTTTTCCTGGTGAAGCGTACAGATTACTGTGCTACCCTAAGCCTCTTAGCACGGGTGATGACATGGCACATTTTATAATTGCTACGCTTTACTCTCGTTTGTCGTAGCCAGCTGCACGAGTGACGCTGGCCGAGATAGCACTAACAGAGGCGGGTTTCATGGTTGTAGGTCCACAGTGTGAAGATGGAACCCAGGTGGAAGAGCTGAAATATGTTGTATAATAGTTGTTGTTTAAACGTTACATTAATGAAGTCGTCGTGACTAACCCTTTCCACAGATACTTTGAACCTTGCCTCTAGGATATCACGCCTACTACATACTCCAGGCCTTGAGATTCTATTGAGGGTTATATATTTATATAATAACGTTTTCTCAGCTTCTTATATTTTGGAATCCGTTTAATTCATTCTCCCGCGCCTTATCATAAGACGAAGCTGATCATTAAGGAGGTTTCTATGGTAATTTTGTCATTAACCTCGGTAGATGCTCATGTTAACCAGAAGCTTTAAAACCCCGACGAATTCCAAAATAATACCTAATTTTTTAAAACCTAAGCTACGAATTGTCGTTATCGTCAAAGTTGAGAAGATAGTATTATAGGAACTAAATTAATATAGAATTAACAGATTAACTCGGATCTTAAGTCGTCAATTTCGTACAAGATTAGCAGAGGACCATTTATTGCAAATATCCGGGGATTGATTGGCGTCTAGGTAATTTTCTAAGCATTTATCACGAAAGTTCTCCGCACTATCCCCCCTTTTGCCCCTCTCTCCATCCCTGCTTCACTACCCCACGTTCGGGTATGTAGATGTGACGATGTTCCCTAGTTTCAACGGGGCGCTTGTTATTATCGGCACCTACAGGCAAGTGAAATTATCTTGGCCAACGCCATGGAACGATGGTGTCGGTCTAATGTGGGTAGGCGTCACGGTTGGCGAGTTTCAATGGATTTCAATGGATATATATCTTCAACGTGTATGTACTCCTCCGGGCCCTCGCATCAATGGCTAGTACCATACCTATCGGCCGTTATTCAGGGTCAAACTTGTCCCACCAGTACGCGTCTCCATACACTAGAGACCCGACCATCAACTGCCGGACATGGCACATAGAGATGACAGAGAATTACATAAAGTCTGAGTGACTGACCTATTTGAGTACCCTCGATCTTTAGTTATATCATCCTATTGCTTTCCTAGCTATCTTTCCCTCCGTTGATTGTCCGTCGCTGTTTAGTTCGTCTCTATATAGTTGTTATATCTCTATAGTTGTTATAATGGCTGCCCCCGTAACTATACCAAAGCTTCTGGATTTGACGATTGATAACATCACGCCAAATACGATTCGGATTAACTCGCAATGTCAAAATCCGCGCCTACGATATTTGATGTCGCGGCTGGTGACGCATCTGCACGACTTCGCTCGAGAGACGCGGCTTAGTACAGACGAGTGGATGGAGGCGCTGAACTTTCTCGTGGGCTGTGGACAAATTAGTAGCGATGTGCGCCATGTAAGTGTGCTTTAGCTTTAGAAGAGGTAGACTATTCTAATGGTGTACCGACTTAGGAATTCATCCTGCTTTCCGATATTCTGGGCCTCTCTTTGTTAGTCGATAGCATCAATCACCCAAAGCCGCCGTCGTCAACCGAGGGTTCCGTCCTAGGTCCCTTCCACACGCATGATGCACCGACGCTGCCCAATGGGTCGAACATGGCATCGGACCCCGAGGGAGAACCGCTACTGTGTATCTGCATTGTAAAAGACACAGCGGGGAGGCCCGTGGCAGGCGTCAAGATTGACATATGGGAGACGGATAGCAGCGGCCACTATGACGTGCAGCACTCCGATCGCGGGGAGCCTAGCGAGCGATGCGTTATGGTGAGCGACAGCGAGGGTCGCTTCTGGTTTAAGGGAATCAAGCCCGTGAGCTACCCTATCCCACACGATGGCCCCGTGGGAAAACTTCTAGAGAAACTAGGCAGACATTGCTGGAGGCCCGCGCATTTGCATTTCATGTTCGAAAAGGAGGGATGGGACCATTTAATTACGTGAGTTGAACACTTCATGATGGACAAGTCGAGTACCCCCTATTATTATTAAAAGAACAAAGATAAAAAGACAAAGAAAAAGAAAAGCTAACAAATCTCACAACTAGGGCCCTCTATGCGCGCGGTGACCCATACGAGACATCAGACGCAGTATTCGGCGTGAAGCAAAGCCTAATAGTAGACTTCGACAAGGCCGACGCAGCAACAGCAAAGGAGTACGACTTCACAGAAGGGGGTTTATTATTGAAACATGAATTCGTATTAACGACGAGAGAGGAAACAGAAAAACTAAGGGATGACAACGCAGTAAAGGCTCTCGCGCAGCTTGGATTGCAGCTGAAGCTTGTCGATCATCTACCTGTACCTGAATTAGACTAGATATACCAGGTGGCTAGGTACCTGAGGAGGTAGATAGTGCTGTATTGATGTGCGTTTGGAATCTTTGATCCCTATAAGACGGCTTTGGTCTATTGTTTTGTCTTTTCCCCAAACGCCAAACCCCTATTTTGAACCAGATAGTAGTCGAGGCAGTTCAGTGCCTAGCTATAATTATATGAAGATTAATAACCTCAGTCTTCTTTTAAGTGGTGTAGACCGACTTCCTTCACTTATATCTTACCCGTCTTTCTTTTCCCATAAAAACAGATGTTTTAGTTTGCCATGTCTTATCCTAGTCGTATTTTGATTTAGTGTTCTGACCACCCTTTGACCTATAGTATACAATGAGAACTAACCGCTACTCAGAAATCCTGAATTCCAGTCTCCCCCCCAATTCTCTTCTCCCCTACCTTCCCGTCACCCCCCTGATCCTCGACCAAGTCACTCGCCCAATCAGGATCCTCATCATCGAACCACGCCTCCTCCTGCTCGCGGCGCTCGAGCACGTCGAACTCGTCATTCTCATCCACCGCGCTATAGTCAAAGTCCTCATCTCGTCCCAGCACGAACCGGCGTCTTAGAAAGCCATCCCACCGCCCGCGCCCCTCCTCCTTCGTCTCCGGCCGCCGGGGCAGCCCCTTCAACCTCGTTTCAGCACCGTCGCCACTAGCACTAGCACCGCTGCCATCGTCGCCGAGACCGTCGCCTCCGTTAGCATACTCCCGAATAAACGGGTCGGTATCCTCCGCCGCCAGTTTCGGCAGCCAAGACGGTCGCCCTGCCGTCGAAGGTTCCGCGGGAAGACCACTTTCCTGGGACGCAGAAGCTACAGAAGCAGAAGCAACCTGTGCCAGCTTAGCCTCGCCGCGCAACAGGTCGACCTCCAACACCCGCGAATACCCCTTCTCGCGCCCCTCCTTCTCGCGCTCAGCCGGCGACTGGAAGTGCCGTATGAGCGCGTCATACAGTATAGGGTCTATGCGAAGTCAGCCCCCTCCTATTCCCATACACAGTGAATAACTCCCAAGTCCCCGAGCCAACAAGACGAGCAAGAAAACACAACACCCGTACCGGCAAGCTCGTGCTCCAGCGAATCAAAGTACCCCGGATTCCGGTCCAGGTACTCGCGCCGCCGGTTCTGCACCCGGATCTGCGCCGCGCGCGCGGGCGATCTGGGCGCCCGCGGCTGGGGCTTGATGTACGGCGCGGCGGGCGACGAGGCCGAGGACACGGGGGGCGACGGGGGTGCTGCCGGGGGCATGGGGGAGGCGGCGTTTGGGAAGTTGGGACTGATGCTCATATTTTTTTTTTATATCTTTTCAACCTCCCTGGCTTTAGTGAAATCGATGAGAAGGTATATCTTTTCGAATAATTTGAGAAACTTCAGATTTACGTGAAACCAGAATGTGTTCTCGCCACGCCGGGCTTCGCGTAGATGTGTAAGGAGTCTTGATGAGAGAGTACGTCCTGATTATCTGATTGGGAGATGGTTGATTCTGGACCCCACATTTATTTCTATTGTTGACAAATACATTGACGCTATATATATACCGAATAGCCGCCGAGTTACCACAAACCAATCAAGCATCAGTGGTTTAGTGGTAAAATCCATCGTTGCCATCGATGGGCCCCGCGTTCGATTCGCGGCTGATGCATTTCTTTTTCTTCTTTTTTGGATCTCATTCCACAGGATAGGTTAATCTTTTTTATATATTCTCATTCGATCTCCATGGTTGATTTATACAGACGCGAGTTAGGGGTGTGGTTAGTAAATTTTTGTTTATACAGCCTTATAACTGCAATGCATAATAACACTTACTATATCCACGAAATACGCAACTAGCTAGGTTAACCTAGTATATAGATGATCATCATCTTCTGAAATTTCATCCACGACCCGGAATTCTACTGGGGTATAAGGTATCATAACTTTCCAAACTTCACCCATCTTACCGCTGATTCGATTCGTAACCGCACTGTATAAGCGGCATATTCGTGTTCATATTCAATTTTCACATCGCGTCTCATCACTCATCCATACGCGTACCGCCCCTTCTCCAAGTCCTCGCTCGGCCTCCTCCCACGGCTACGATCAAGACTAGGCCGTGTCCACGGACCCCCCGTCGCATGACCGTTTCCGTTCGCGTCGCCGAAGCTAACCTTTCGCGGAGCGGCGGATCCGCGCCGTCCCGATACGGGCGACAATCTTGCCGCAGCGTAGTATCCGTAGTCATCGCTACGCTCGCGACTATGCCTCGGCCTCGTCCTTGCAGATAGTCCATCCGTCTGTACTTCCTTACCCAGTCCAGCACGCTCGCGGTGCGATAGCGATACCGAACTTGTCGGCGGGACATATATCTCGTGTTCCGGGTCCACGTGCTCGTCGCGTTTCTCCTCTCCTATAGGGAGCCGCTTCTTTCTCCCTCCTAGCCATTTCTTTCCCGCGCTAAAGATATCCTTCGCTGCGTCCGAGATATCCGTGACCGTGAACGCCATGGCGATTAGCGGCACACTGACGCCTAGGCCAATCCCAAACAAGTACTTGCTCACGTACGGGATTGTCAGCAGGGTGTCTTCCTGCCATTCCTGGAGGTTGATGGCGAAGAATGTGGCGATGAAACTCATGGGCAGGAAGATGATGGTAACGATCGTAAATACCATGATAGTCTGCCCCTGCTTCGCCGCGATGACCGCCTGATCACCCGCAAACCTGGCCTCGAGCGCGTTCGAGTGCTTCTGCTTGAGGTCGAGCAGGTCTGTAAGGTTATCGTAGAGCGAAGCGGCCTGCTGGTCCATGCGCCAGATATCCTTTTGCCTTACCTCGAGGCCCCGCAGCTGTTCCCGGCTGCGCTTGCGGATCTCAGCGACGGCGTTGTCGGTGGCGCGGCGGTTAGGACCATCGGAGCGCAACTCCTCCGTTACCTGGTCCTCGAAGTCGGCGAGTGCGGCTACCTGCGAGTCCAGGAGCACGGTGATGATGCTTAGCTCGTCGCGGATGTCCTTGATTTCGGCCAACAGCGACGTCTCGATGCCGATATCGAGCAGCGCGTCCGGGAACTGGTCTGCACCGTTCTCTTCGTACGGATCCGGCGTTCCGAACGAAGACAGACGAGCCGGCCGCCCAATGCTATGTTGCCGTCGATGATATTGAAGCCACCGCGCCGATTGTGCCGAGGCCCGATTAAAGCGACTGAACAGCTGGCTTTCTCGATCCGTGACGACACCGATAGAGTTCTCAAACATGTCCAAAAATTGAAAGTCCTGATCGTCAAGCCGGTGCCGGTCAAATGTTCCGGAACAACGACTGGTTATAAGCATTGCTAAATCATCTGGTATATGTTAGTGTCTAGCAAACATTTAAGAATTATACCTTTAAAACAGGTAGGCATAGAATACGTTGATTGTATAAGAAATACAAGAGAACGACATGATAACATACTATGAGCAATTCGTTAGCCTCTATTCTAGAAACAAAGTCAAAGGGGTCTGAAGAGTGAAATTGTATACATACCACACAGATCCAACTGGCGGTCGGGTCTTAGCATTAGTCTCTTCTATAATCCCATCCAAAACATTTAAAGGATCTTGCTTCGGCTGATCCCAGCGTTGGGGGAAGCACGTAATGATAAGATCTAAGATGAATAAGTCATAATACCGGCTAGTATTCCAGGCGCGGCTTACCTTTTCCAATAACCCAGAGCCACAGCTGGTCAACCATGAATACCTTAGGCTCTAACATGTACCTTTTACAATACCGGTAAACCACTTGATCCGTATCTCTCGCTGACGTGTCGATGCCGTGGTAAAAGAACTGGTCGAGGGTTCGCCGCGGGTGGAGAGGCGGGTTGTTGTGTAGATACGCGCTTATGATGAGCGAATCTCGGGAGGTGTCGACGAGCCGTCGCTTTTCATGGGCATTTTTGATGGCATTACTCATTTTCTGCCGCCGCTCATCTGTCTCGTAATGTAGGAATGGCATCTTCGCAAATTAGTTCAATTACGGAATTTCGTCAACATAAAATGAGATGCTTACGAATAAGACGATTTTTCCGTTCGAGGGGGCAACTCCTGGTGTGCCCCAGGCGAGTGGAACTTGGGACTTGATACTCAAATTACTCGTGGTGCTATCTTGTCGATGCGATGAATTACCCGGAGCTCCTTTAGCCCGTTTGTGTTTCTTAGGATGCCGCTCCATGATCTGCTCAGACTTGCTTTTCTTTTTAGAAGCCGTGTCATCCTCAAAATAGTCACTTTGCCTCGGGCTTGAGTCTCCGCTCTGACTCGATCTCGTACTAACTTCCGACGGTTCCTCGGATAAGGGGGCAAGGGTTGACTTATCCTCCCTTTTATCTTGGAAACCAGCCCGATGCGCGGTAATACGGTGCGAGTTCGTCCTCATAAAATGGGCATGTGGAAGTTCCCCGCGATGCTCTTGGTCGAAGCATTTCTCCAACGCTTTAAAAGCTTCAATGTCCCGGTGTCCTGCCTCAATGAAGGATTTGGCAAGAAGTGTCTACTGAAGTGTGAGCCGGTTAAAATGCTACATAAGGGAGAAGTCAAGTACCTCAACCCAATCAATCTATAATGTCGCGTTAGTCCTATCTGTCATAACGGGGAGACTCGATTAGATTATACATTATTCGCAGGAAGATGGATCCATCTAAAATCTGGCTTATACTTGATATTCTTGGTCAACGTAGGAATCCTCGGTTTGTCGTTCTCGGAATCCCATCCGTATAGGAGGTCATATACGGAATATTTAGATACGAGTTGTTTCTTTTCGAACTGGCCAAAGTCTACGACAGTGGCTTCGAAAGCTTGGCATGCTCGACGCGCGATAGGAGATAGACGGTCGGCAGCTCGCGTAGGCGAGAGCAGCTGAACAATCTCGGGGTGGTTTTTCTCGGCGGCACAGAGCATGGCTGTCCGGTTGAAGCTATCCTTAATAGATAAATCAACATCTGGTCGAGTTAATAAGAGCCGCACAATCTCCTCAGAGCCGTTAAAAGCAGCCCAGTGTAAAGGTGTCATTCCATTAGAAAGCTCGGCGTTTATATCAGCATTGGCTTCTAAGAGCAAGGTAACAACAGGTGCATATCCGCTCTGCGCAGCGTTATGGAGGGGCGTCCAACCACCGTCACTAACAGCACGAGGAGTAGCTCCATAATTAAGGAGTAGCTTAACCATCTCCCGGTGCTGCTCCTTGTGGTGGCTTTCGGCAGCGAGATGTAAGGCAGTGCGCCCACGGTAGTTCGTAGCTGCGATGTCGGCGCCCATTTCCAACAAGATATGAGCAAGTTCAACATTGCCATTAGTTGCAGCCCACAACAGCGGCGTCCGACCAATCTGATCCTTCACCTCGAGGTTCGCCCCATTATTCAGGAGCAGCTTCAAGGTGTCGATTGTCCATTTTCCCTTCCCAGGCTTTTCCGAAGCTAGGAATAATAAGGGACTTCGCCCTTCCTTGTCTTGTGCTTCGACATTCGCATGCCCTGCTAATAGAGTCTCGACTACCTTGTTGAACCCCTTCAAGCAGGCGCTAAATAGAGCGGTCTGCGCATTGCGATTACGCCCGTTCGGGTCGGCACCGTGCTTCAGCAACTCAGCCACTATATCATCATGTCCTCCTTCGGCAGCCTTCACCAGAGCAGGAATCTCATTCTCTCGTTTAGCATTTACATCGGCGCCGTGGCCAAGTAAAAGCTGGACGATGGAGAGCTTGCCGCGAGCTGCAGCTTTCTGAAGGGATTGGCGAAGCGCGTCTTGATCGTTACTAGATGTCCAAGGGTCTTCGGTCAAGATATCGCGGAGTCTGGCTTCGTTGGCTTGAGCTGCAGCGGCAATAAGTCTCAACTGTCGTGGATCGGGTTGGCTGCTTGCTACGCTGGCTAGACTAGCCATTACACAAGAATCGGCGTGGGTAGGGGAAGACGGGCGTGGACTGGACCTATCGCAAACGAATCGCCATTACTTATCGAATATTAATTAGCAAATATCTATAATTAAAAGATTAATTTGTTCCCCGAAATCACATGTCTTTTCTCGTGACTATCACGCAGCACAATGAGGCCGAAGACACCAACAACAACGTATTACGATAATAAGCAGGCGTCACACAAATTTGCGGAGGTTAGGTACAGTTCGCGTTCCACGTCTATGTATGGCGCGTGTAGGTGTTTGCATTGACGCCCGAGCCAAGAGTTTTTTGTCAGGTGGCAGGAGACGGCGATCGAGGTGGGTTGAGCTGCAGCTGTAGTCTTATTCGGACTTAGCCAAGCCGGGAGAAACGCTAGAATCTGGGACTAGCCTGCTAGTGTAAGCTCAACCTTAAAAAGCTCCTACCAATTTCACCGACTGGACGGTAACTTCGGCGGCCCGGATATAGAATATTCGCTAAACTAAAATCCCAAAACTCAAAACTCGATTCGGTGGCACAGTAACCAATCCATCGCGGTCTCAGCTATTATTAGAGTCCACACCACGCGACGGTATGGATGTATGGGTGTATGTACATAACGTGCCTAATCCGGATACATACTCGATCGACATATCGAGCCGTATTTCGCTCTTGTTTGTTCCATAGAATAAATATCGAACCAACTTACATGCAGTAAGAAGTTAGATTCATTGCTCACTTAATATTAACTGTATCGGAATTAATACCTACATAGCGAGTTACACGAACATATCTTAGGTACCTATACTACTATGTGACGCCATGGCATAAGTAATAGAGAAACCGTGACAATTAAAATCTAGGCCTTCTTTGGCATGATTAATAGATACATAGGTAGTCTACATGGTATTTAGTGTATGATAACAGTGAGGAGGCCGTTACTTCGTATGGGCAAGACCAATAATAAGAAATTGCCCAGTTGTGCTCGAGAGCTAAGAAACCGCTTTATCAGCTAATTAAAACAGCATCTTTGGGCGCCGCCGTAATTTGGTGTTCTTGGGCTTCTTCTTCTCCTTCTGCTTTGGCTTGTCCTTCTCGTTCTTCATTTTTGCTAGTTCGGCCAGCATCCTCTCGATTTCCTTCTGCTCGGCGGTTGCCGTCGCATTGTCCATCTTCTTCTTCCGCTCTACCCATTTCATGTAGTCTTCGTCCTTCCGCTCCTCGTCGCCGTCGTCAAGAATTCCCTGGACGGGCTCGGGCGGTTGTAAAAAGCCCCTGGCATCGGCTTCTACAATAGCCTCGTACATTTTGGTAGCCATCATTTCGTAACCGGCAGTACCGGGGTGCATGCCGTCAGAGGCCAGGTTTCCATCCTGGATTCCGTCAGGACCTTGTAGTTCCGCAAGAACTACCGGTAGCTCCTGTTGCTTATAAATCTTGGCCAGCCTCCGGATCTGCGGGTTTACCTTCCAGACTTCCTCTCTACCGTTGAATCGCGTGTCCCAAGTAGGTAGGATAGTGCACATGATAATGGTGGACCTCGGCGAAGCGTCGAGAAGGTAGCGGACTAGGGCGTCATACCGCTTGTAGAAGTTATCAATATCAACATGTTGGAAACAGTCGTTGGATCCAGCGTTGACCAGGAAGAGGTTAGGCATCGACTTGGGAACGGCCTTCCTAGCATTTCCGTGGATAGTCGCAGTAACAACACCAGGATAAGCCTCGATATCGTTATCGGTCATATTTCCGAGGCGTTGAGTTCCGACATAGTTAACTTTGTTGCCGATAGCTGTGAGCTTCTCACGGAGAGGTCGGCGGAAACCGTTGTTATCGATTCCCTCCTCGGGACTGTCACCACGAGTGGTTGACGCACCAAGCGCCATGATACGAAGCGGTACTCCATTGGCAAGTGGTAATTCGTAACCAGGTCGGGCATACGGTTTTGTCCTTACGGTAGTACTGGTAGCACCACTGGACAGTTCGCTCGGGAAGGGAGTAAGAGATGAAGAAGTTGAAGAAGTATTGTGGGGCGCGTTGGTCGAAGGATACGATATTTGAACGGTACCGTTACCAGTTACATAGCTAACACCAGCTTTGAAGTTGTCCCCTATGCTATCTAATTTATGTCCCCATTCATTATCGACGTTGACACTACCAGAAAAAAGCAAGACTACGAATTCGGTTAGTCGCAAAATAGGCATGATTCTAGCCTGAGAAGAATACAAACCTATTAAAAATAATGGCAAACCCAGGAATAATAGCGAGCGTCTCCGTGACAGGATCATCGCGACGTATCGACTCGAAGCAAGCTGTCGAGGAAAAGAATACTGATCTGTAATCCACCCCATTAAGTCCTGTGTGGTTGCGCGCGCGCAACAGATCAACCGCCGTCAAGAAGCGAAGGAGGGAAAAAGGCAATGCAGCTGTCCACTCCGTTACCCCACAATGCGATTAGCACGTTGTAGTGGACGCGTAAGCTTCGTCTCGATAAAGATTGAAAAAAAAATAAAAATAAAAAAGGAGAGCAAGGGGTCAGAAAAATAAAAAGCGTGAGCTTAAATGAAGGAATGAATAAGAATAAGCGAGAGAAGACAGCTAATGCGATATCATACAGATAGATACACGATCAAAGCCCATCGAGACGGAATTAAGAAAGGTTGGCGAACTTCTTTAGGCGGGTTGTGGCGAACAGGAGGGAGGAAAAGCGTCAAACAGAAAATGGAAGACGGGTCTCCTTATTTTTATCTAGGTTAGTTGTTTGGACATGCAACCAATATATATTGCCGTCTTTTCCGTCGTTTTGCCAAGAAGAATGCCAAGAACCTTCGTGTCCCAAAGCTGAGATCGTCATTTTTGAAGTGCCAAGACGATAGGACGTTGTTTGGAGGG